GTGAACACCTTCAGGACCTACGTGTTAATCTAATTACTAGGGGATATACTAACAATGTAATTGATAATGCCTTTAATAAAGCTCTGCAATATACTCAGTCAAATCTACTAATTGGGGAGAATGATAATAATAATATTCGCATTGATGGTAATGCTACTAACCAGAGCCGAAATAATGAACCTAATAGCAATAAACCTATACTAACGTTCTCTGTGCCCTATAACACTAATACCACTCATATAGGATCTATCTTGCGTAAACACTGGCATCTCATTGATAAAGACCCAACACTCAAGCTTCTATGGCCAGAACCCCCTTTGGTTTCCTACAAACGCAACCATAATATTAAGGACCGCATAGTGCACTCTAAGCTATCAAATAATTAGCACTAATGAAATTTAACGCCATACTAACACCACTATGACAGCGGGTTCGATATGTGAGACACAGATTTTGGAGTTTTGTCATTGGTCGTGGAAATACTGGATAATTTGGTCATATTAAAGCAATAGAAACACCGAGTTTTGAAAACCATATTTACAACAACTTATAATACCAGCTGTTGATATCTTACCATCAAGCAGATATTGTTGTCCACATACTATAAAGAATTAATCGTCCTGGTTGGCACTTGAAAAGGATTAACATTGACGTCAATAGCCAATTTTTCATACCATTACTTGACTGTGGCATTTCCTACGATAACATCTATATGAAACCACTCGAATAGACTCGTCATCGCTACATAGTTGGTCAACCTTTTTAATTACATACAGTTGGACTATTAAAACAGAGCCTGATGTTTTTCGACATGCATGTACCTAATATGTTTTGATGGCCAATAGCAATAGTTACAATTCCTATACCTAATTCAAATCCTCTATGCATGTCAGCATGCATTTTATACCTTAGGCGTCATACGCGTCCTATATAGAATTTTTCAGTTATGACCAGCTATTAAATAATGCACCAACATATTCCCAGTCCCCATTTATTTTCATATAACCATTGGTTCCTTGTACAAGCAACACGAAACATACTTGTCATGTTTTAATAGTATACTTTGTAAATATAATGATGGATAACTTGAGTACTCCACGTGATAATTAAGACCTACTATAGATAACGATTGGACATATAATATCATTCCATTTATCATCTTTGTTTGGCTTTGTTATATATGTACATATTTAGTTTTTTTGGGGGGGTTAATGTATATTCATAAATCTATAACAATAAACCCTGTAAAGGGGTAATTATTTATCTAATTATTTATTTATTTTATTATTTATCACTAATCACCTCTTATTGCGATACCTCCCCATCCCTGTCTAATTAGCTCCCTTCGCCATATTAGGATGCAATCACCTTTAGTCACATGATCACACTATGATATAAATCCTACCCCACCCCTACCATCACATCATTCATACTCACTATACTATTGAGTTAGCTACATTTGAAAGGACTGTATTATTACTCTGCTTTATCAAACTAAACAAAAGATGAACAGCAAGGTGCGTGGTGTTGGAATGTCGAGCAATAACAAGACATTTGGTAGGATAACTTTTCTTTTAACATGTAGTAGTTTTTTCATTTCTCACTATCTTTCCATCTTTCCTTTTTGTTACTGTGCCATTGCTTATCCTAATTCTTAACCTCTCCTTCATTCTCCTCTGCAAATTCTACCTGCACCCATCTTAAAAAACCTTGCTGAAGAAGACTGTTAGGTCGAAACACGTACAGGGTTGCCTTTCCTTTTCTCTCCTTTATCTCTCGACTTATCGTTTCCAATTAACCAATTCACCCCTCCTCAGTTCCTATAATCGTTATTGCCATAATTCATCACGTATATGCAGTTCATACTATTGAAGTTGAAGTAAATAACAATAAATTTGAATACTGGTCCTATAATTATTTAGGTTACACAATGTCTCACACCAGTACTTGTCCCATTACCTATTTACACCAAAACAAAAGTGAATTAACGTTTTGCAAGCGAGTTAGTTGTTCACTATACAATGTGTATTAGCATGGCATTTGGAGGTATACAGGGTGTATCAATAAAAACGGAGTCCTCACATAAAGTGTAAATTTCAAAGCGAATATGAAAGTTAGACATTTATACTTGCATTCGTTCGAAATGGCGATCTTTCGGCTATTTTATGTACTTTATTTTATAAAATTTGGAGTTATTGCTGGCGAGCTGTGTCAAGTTAAGTAAGTGCAATTGGAAAATTAAAAAACGTAGATGTGTTGAATTCACAATTTATTTAAACGTTCCAAAAAATAAGTTGGATCGGAAGTACACATTTACTCAACGTGGCCTCCATTTCTAAGTGCACAAGTTCGTTCTTTGTCTCATATCCAAGACAAGTCTTCTTCCCGAGTTTCCTTTATTTCGATTTAAATTTTATGGGGTGGTTCTTCCATTCAATGCATATGCAGCCGGTATTTGTTGACATTACCCCAAACGCTCGATGAAGATTACGTCCTGGAAAAGCTATTTGAAATTGTCTTAACACTGCAACAACGCTTTTTGTTTCGAAATACTCAGTTTCAACAATGAATGTTCGTTTCGGAATTGTTAGCTTTGGCATTATGAATGGTGATTGTAAAGTTTTAAACAACAACGTTCTAAATTTTAGCAAACTACCTTTAATTAAGTCCCCAAGGGACTTCGAAGATTAATATTTCGAAGCATCTAAAAACGAGCGCTTGTACTAAATTCTTTTTATTGCGATTAGCCTTCGTTCAAAATTTTCAAGAAACCCTTCATTCGAAAGATGAAAAAACAAGCTTTAAATTGAGCCCAAAACGAAACTATGGTAGTTTATTTTCGATAGAAATAAGGATATTTAGGACGACTCCGTTTTTTCTGATACACCCTGTATACACACAAGTTCAGGGGCGCACATTCAAAAAAAATTTGGGGGGTGTCCTATTTTCCGGGACCGACTTTTGTAGTATTTGTGTTTGATAAAAAAAGCCAACTATTTTAAGGTGTGCACCAGTACTCGTGAACCGGTGAAAGTTCGGTTTAATTAATGTCACAGTCTTGTTATAAATACAATTAATATAAAATTTAAGAGTTGGACGTATGGTACAGGGCCGTAGGAAACTCTTTTCGATTGGGGGGGGGGGGCTGAAAGCGATGGCCGAGGCCCGAGGAAATTTTTAAATTTAGAGTCTCTGCAATGCCATTTCCTGGAGTTTGGGGAAGATTTAACAGAATTCTGATAGTCAGAAAAAAGCGTTTTAGTATGTCGAAATTTACAATTTAGTAGTACTAAATGGCCGAAGGCGTATTTAATTAACTATTATATGTTGAATAAGTTGCAGGAAAGTGTGGGTAATACCATGGATTGTAAAATAACATGTACTTTATTATCCATGGTAATACCTTCATTCTTTGCAGTTTGTCACAGATTAAATGATGAAGGTCTGCATGACATGCTACGGCCCTGTGGTTATTGCACAAAGTCGAGTAACTATGTAAAAAAATAGTATACAGGGGTGTCAAAAAGTAGACCGTTAGAAATTAACCTGTTGTTCTAATTTGAATTTATAGCCAGTATATTAGCCACAAGCCCACAGTATTATTAAAGAATAGTACATTATTAAAGTCAAGAGCTCAACTATAGACAATAATGGTTCAAAATAAATCTATAGTGCGTGCCCATGTGATATTCAACTAAGAGTATTAAATATCTGTTTTGTTTAGAAAGTTATAGCAATTAGCAATAGATTTCAGGCAGTCAAATCAGTTTTTAAATAGTTCACCTGCACAGCTTATTTGATCGAAAAATGACAATCGGAATTACTTCACACAAATAAGGCATTCTGTTTTGGCAGCTCGGCCCAACGATCAACAACAGTGTCTGGGTCCATTATATTGTATCTGTGAGATCCTTTTCACATCCAAGAGTGATTAGATCCCTTAGCCTTCTTTCTTTCATCACTGAACGAATGGCAGTCTTAATCAATTTAAGCTTCGAACTCGAAAAGCTGTGTGTTCACTCGATGCAGATGTAATCGGCTATCTATGTGTATAAATGCTATACACTGCCACATACCTCGGTAACCTCGCTTCGATTTATTAGAACGTAGACTCCTCCAAAATTGCGGATGGACTCATAGACAGGGATAGTATTCCAAGAGTTTAAATAAACGTTTAGTTTTTCAGAACTTCTGCTCTAAACATTCGGGGAGCCAAACATTTTTATGGATTTCGAGTGCGAGCGCCAAAGGCGCGAGAAAAATTTTGAATTTCTAGATTCATTAGAACACTATTTCACGTATTTTAGGATGAGGTTGGAAGAAAAGTTACAACCACAAAAAGTCGCCTAATTTTGTTAGATTCCATTTCCAAAATGTCCACCTATTTCTTTTTTCGACACAAAATGATGTCTTTCAGATTTTAGCCGGACCGACTTTTTTCCGTCCCATACAGGATTCGGGACCGACTTTTTAGATATATTTCACAAAACATTGGGGGGGGGGGGTGTCCCCCCCACACACACACATACACACACACCCTAATGTGCGCCCCTGCGCAAGTTAGCAAATAATTTTCTCGCTCCCATAGGGCATTCTCAAATAAATATTTTGTAATATATTGAATATTTGTTCTGTTAGAGGTTTAAGTGGCAATTTATGCTGTACGTATGTTCGCAAATTTTCACCGTTATAATTTCTAAGCCAGTATTTCATATAATTTTGGTGTAGGAATTAGAAAAGTTGCAAAGTGCCTGTGATACCTCAAAAATATACGGGTTAAAAAATAACAAAAGGCCACTTACAGAATATGAAAAGGCTGTTAATACTGCTTCCTTCAGCCTTGCTGAAAAGGACCCCGCGTTGATCGCAAGTAGAGAGAAGTTGTATGGAATGGCAAGGGCGGTAGTAAGAGAGACGGTTATAAATTTTAAAAAGGCACATCCCGCTCCAAGCATTTGAAACAAAATCAGGATGACAAACCAAAAAAATGGTCGAAGACCATGTCCGAAGAGCGCATAAATCGACTACAGCAAATAACCATGACTGAAAAGGAGTTAGAAAAATCTATGAAAATAAAGGAGCAAAGAAGGTCCAAAGCAGAAATGATTAAGAACTTCAGCTTGTGTGATACGCTGTCTACAGAAATTCGCGGGCTTATTAAAGAAAAACACGTTCTGGAAAATGAACGAAAGGTCCTACAGAGAAAGGAATCACAACCAAAATGGTTTTTAAAGAGAAAGTCAGCTTTGCAAACTGAAGGAGAAAAACGAAATGAGCAGATTCTATTAAAAAGGAAACCAGTCTCGATGACTTTGGAATCAATGTGGTCTAGGAAAAAAGAAGTTTGCTCAACTATCTTCGATGGCCAACAAGCATCTTTGATGGCCAATGATGTTGTATGTCTTTCGTCAGTTGTCCCAAGAGCTACACCTAATCAAGCTGAAGATGACGGAGATATCGAAGTCTTATCCCCACCTGTCACAAGTGTTACACCAAATCAAGCTGAAAATGACAGAGATGTCGAGGTCTTGTCTGCACCTGTCACAAGTGTTACACCAAATCAAGCTGAAGATGACAGAGATGTCAAGGTCTTATCCCCACTTGTCACAAGGGTTACACCAAATAAAGCTGAAGATGACAGAGAAATCGAGGTCTTATCCCCACCTGTCACAAGTGTTACACCAAATCAAGCTCATGAAGATGACAGAGATATCGAGGTCTTGTCTCCACCTGTCACAAGTGTTACACCAAATGAAGCTGAAGATGACGGAGATATTGAAGTTTTATCCACACCTGTCGCAAGTGTTACACCAAATAAAGCTGAAGATGACAAGCGTCATTAGGAGGGTTAGTTGAAATTTATATTCATGAATCTCGGAAACAACTGTCCAAGTACAAGACAAAGAATGGTGCTTCAACTTCAATTATTGTGGGATTAACTTTGGAAGAATATGCAAAAGCTAGAAGAGCATTTTGTGAATCGAAACATGTTAATAAGAAATGCAAGTGCGAAGGCTTTGTCAATGTTGCACAGCAAATCGTAAAGTATGGATGTGTGAAGTTAAAAACAGCATTTATATGTGTAAATCATCATCAACAACCTTGTGAATTGTGTGATTTCTCGCTAATCGGAGAACAAGAGAACATGAATTTAGATTCACCAAACTATACTTCTGCACACGCAAAGCGGCAAATGTTGCTGATGCCTGTTGCAGCAATACGGACAAAAAGTTCAGCAAATTACTTGTGCAAGACAACAGCGAACATAACCATGATTAAGGCTTTGTTAGAGAGAATAGCAATGCCAAACTCAACTTGTAGCAATCGTCTATCGAAAGAGCAGTTTAAGGAACTAATTGCAATGAGTGATTCAGACAACCAGAGACACTGCTTGAGATTTGCAATTGGACAGGCCACTGGTGCTTCAGCAAAAAAAATGAGACAGAAGTACGGAGTTGAAAGCTACAATGTTAAGGTGAAAGAAGTGAAACAGGCTATAAGCCATGTCCAAGAAATTCGCCAAGGTATTGAGCATCTAGCAAACATTAAGGAAAAAGCAACTCTGATTGCTTTTGGTCTGTCAACATTTGAAGATTCCGACCCAGACAGTTCTGGAGGTAGCAAGAGTGACGCAGGATAGGATTGTGATCGTGTAAATGAATCCCAGAATCAAGTGATGGAAGTTGAGCATACACCTAAAGTAGAAATCAAACACCAATTTTCGAAGGAGCTTCTTGTGAAAAGCCAATTTAACTGGTTTGCTTTATCTGAATTATTAATAACTGACGTTGTTGGTGTTAACAAGAACAATTTGAAAAAGCACTTATCGGGCTTGTTACAGAACATTGGGGAACTGGGACTAAACGAAAGAGAACTTTATCTGATCACACAGAGCAAGGATGCGTACGACAAACAAGAAAAAGTGAACGAGAAAGTTATGGAGATTGCTGAAGGTAGTATACTGTCAGATGACAACGAGTCCACGCAACCCGTGGACTGGTGTAACATTACAGATCCACTGTGCGGTGAAGGAAAAGAACTTTTGGCAAAGAAAATAAAATCGATTAGAAGGAAAAAGAAAAGAGACCTCAAGAGGAAAGTGGAGATGGAAAGGATTCTGAAATGAAGGAGCAAAAATATTGGCAAAATATTAAAAGAATGTCCAAATATTGGTAAGGAAATTGAAAAGTTTGTTGAAGAATTGGGAGTTGGTGCTGACGCTTGGAGGCGAACAGGAGTTCTAACGTTCGACGATAATCGAAAGGTAAACAAGAAGGTCACGTTTAATAGAATTAAAGAACATGTTGAGGTTAAATATGGTGGGAAATTTAGTTATGGTAGTATTGTGCAATTATGTGTTGCAAGAAATTACAAAGGGATCGCTAAGATAACATGTAGACGATTTGATCTCAAATTCAATCCTGACAGTCACTGGTCAAGTGCTCTGTATCGAGGATTGAATCATATTCAATATTCCACAACAACTGACAAAATTATACTGAACAGAGATGACCTCTCAGTCTTTCGTCTCGACTCTATGGCAACAAGTAACAAATGTGCCTCTGTCTGCCTCAAAGATAAAGTTCCTTTGGCTACTAAGTCAGATTATCAGCAGAAATATCCGTGCACGCTTCAAACCACTTCATATAATTTCACTGCGAGCCATGACGAAGGCGAGTTGTGTGTTGGTGTGGTGAAAGGCGCGGCAATACATAATAAAAACGCTGCTCAACATGCCGCCGACTTGAAAATGGTCGAGTCTCAAGATATGTTGCAGGCAAAGTTTACGAACAGAGTGACTAGCAAGCCAAAAGATATAGAATGCATTCGTGTTGACAGTGGAGGTGATGAAGCACCCTGCTTTGAGGAAGTACAGTTTTGGTGGGCAAAAAGACATCTAGAGAGGCCTACACGTGTTCAGCTGGTTACCAGTCGACATAGTGGTGGAAGTAATTTGAACCGTGTTGAGCTGCAGAATGGTTATGAAGTCAAGGCAAGAACAAACCTATTTATTCCTTCCACATTAAATGGCATGAATTGCGACCAGTCAGGGAAAATCGACAACGATAGACTGAGAAAGAACACATCAGATGCTATTGACGTTTACATATCAAGGGTCGATCAAGCCCCATGTGGAGAAACTGTAATAAATCTGTTTAAAGGAGCCGATTCACAGTCATATCAATCATTAAGCGGTCACGTTAGAACGTTTTTAAATGGTTCAAAGAAAGAAAAGGTTGCGTTGGCACTGGAGCACCCGGAAGAATACAAACAAATTAAAATGATTTGGGATATCCGAAATGCTCACTTAAACACGTCCGTGCCAACAAGATATATCTTTCATCTTGTTTGCTGTTACCAAAAGAATTGCTTGCATCCTATCTGCAAAGATGGGAAACCTGACCACAACATTTGTTGGTATGACGGTGGCCCCACAATTGAGACGATTCCACTTCCTGCCGCTGACCCAGATAGTCCATTCGGATCCACAACCTGTAATGCATGTGATAAAATATGTTCTGATCACTATTTACCTCCAGAAAGCCTGGTGAAGTTAGTCAAGGAAAAAATACAGGGAATTGATAACATCCCACCTTCAGAAGCCCTGAAGAGATAAATAAAAACAGTGAGAAGATCTTTGAAGAGAAATCCTGCCAAGAACTTGCCAAGAAGGTACTTCTTAAACCATCTGAAGTTTTGTGTTGGCTTGAGCATTTAAGATCAGTTAAGGAACATCGCAAAGAAGGCGCAAGAAAGGCAGCTGAAACACAAAGACAAAAAAGAAGGGTACGTATACCACTAGAATACAAAATCAACAGCTACAGTACTACACTTATTATCCATTTTTTACTTATTTGATGTGCTGTATGTTTTAATAGGACAAAGAAACCGTAAGACCAAGAAATCAAGTATGCGCCAAGTGCCAACAAGAAAGTGATCGTGAATCTGCAACTGCCACATTGTGGATTTTTTGCGATGAATGCAAGAAAATGTTTCATAAAAGTTGTGTTTCTGATGCAAGTACAGATATAGAGGAGATATGGTACTGTAATGCTTGCTGGCAAAAATCTATTTGCCAGGCTTGCTTTCAGGCAGCTCCTTTGGAGGGGACTGATGAAGGAGATGAAGATATTCCTTGGGTCGCATGTGATAATTGTCAAAACTGGTATCACATTGCATGTGTCGGACCAGTGAATGTTTCGAAAAAGTGGTTATGTACCACATGTACATAGATATCGTATTTTATTGTTTGAAAATTTCCCTTTACTCCTATTTTATAGTGTAGTTTTCTGTTCAGCTAATATGGAACTGATGAGCTTGCAGACATGCATGATTTACAGTATGCATATATGTTTGCCAGTTTGGGCTTTGAAACATCACAGTTCATATAAGCAACATGTGCATTTCACATGGTTTTGTGCGTGAAACAGCAAGGGGAGAGGAAACAATGAAATTACCCATAATTTATTACCATTGTTACAAGTGTACAGAAAGTATGAGCTCTCAGCCTCTCCCTCGGGTGAACTTGTGTCTCGTATGATTGTGTTACTCTTGTTAGGATGTGTTACATAATCAAATTATCATCGAAAAATCCAAACAATTCGTCTGATACGCATACACAGGACTTCATCCCACCCAATAAGCATGCAAATCTGCCACCTGCACATCCGAACCAGCTACCAAGTTACGATTTGCACACTTGTGAAAGTGCTGATGATAAATGAGCATTGAACAAAATATGGGGCAATATTGCAGTTTAATTTTTGCAGATGCAGCAAGTTAGTTGTATATTTAACAATTATACCATGAGCTCGAGTCATATATGAGCTGATAGCCGACGAGGTGCATAGCACCGAGTCGGCTATCAGCCATATACGACGAGAGCGAATGGTATAATTGTTTTATAATATAGTCAATAGCCATTAACTGAAGCAATAATTAATTATCCTCTGTTACAATGTCTTGACAATTTGTTCGGCCAAAACCCGCTTGGCCTTGAAACTGACTCATGTAGTTTTTGGACCGCCATCTTGTTTTTCGCTACTCGCCGTATAGGAGCTGATATACGGCGAGTAATTCAACCAATCAGATTGCAGAACAGCTCATATACGGTGAATGACTATATTATAATTAGTATTATACATAGGGTATCCATTAAGACTATATTAAAGTTAACATATATGTAAAACAAAAACTTTATGTTAGAGGCAACTGTAGAGTGTACATTGATTATTTATAAGGAACTGTGGTACATTTAATATTGCACCTTTCACTCAGTATTTTGTCTCAGGCTTAATAGTTCTGTACACTGTATACTCAGTTTAGTAAAAATAAAAAGCTTTTTGCAACAAAATTTATAGTTAAATTTTATGAAATTGTTCAAAAAAGTTCTCCTCCCCACAGGTATTTTGACGAACAAATTGTGCCCGGAGGTGGGGAATTTGACAAAAAAAAATTCAAAATGTCAAATGCCTGTGGGTTTGCCTGCCCTCCGGGGGGTGGTGGAAACAAATGATTGGTGCATTATAAAAGCAACCGGTTTTTCTCCCATTTTTGTCTGGAAAAAATGGGAGAAGCATAAAGCGAAAAACAGTATTTTACAGCTAAGTTATCCGCATTCCGGCCCATAACTCAAACAAAGGTAACTATTTAAAAAACATTGCTAACTTTGCAAAAGTTGAACATCTTATGTCGTGCATGGTAAGTATTCTTTCACATTTCGTACAGGAAATCTTAATTTGCAATTTGCATATCCTTTGACTTTATTTTTAGTGATCACCTCTTCTTTACCCCGTCGAACTACCTCTCAAACAGGTAACTATTTCAACAATAGTCGATTCCCCTTATTACGTATTCTGAATACAACTATGACCATGATACGTCCGAAAAGCATGCTGGTAATTGTATATTCAGAATGCGCAATAAGGGGAAGCGGTTTTTGCCTTGATTCGTGATCCTATTCCCTTTTAACAGGTTGAACAAGGATTTTCTACTGCTTGTTTAAAGGTGACATGACGCAAATTTTTGTGTTGTCCCACTTGAAAAAATCGTCAAAAAATATACAGTATAACTATCGTTTCTTACAGAATTGTATATTTGTATTTATACGCTTTATTGAAATTATTCCGTTTTTTAATATTCAGTTGAATCAAATTTATTCAAACAGGTTTACATCACACTAATATACTAGGCAAGTCGCAAAATCTCTGGTGAAAATTAATCCGACAATAGACCTTATTCATAAATCGTGACGAGGCCTCGTATCCTAGGATACGGGAACAAAACGCGGGAAAACAAGCGAAAACTGCTTGACAAGCCAAATTCAGATGCTATTGTGTCGACTTTAGCGGCTTGTTTCTTGTTGCTTTTTGCGATTTATAACGATTTTTGTGTGTATTTTAAGACTTTGTGCCCACACCGAAAGCGGTAAACGAGTATATTATAAAAGCGACCGGTTTTTCTCCCGTTTTTGTGTGGAAAAAATGACAACGTAGCAACAGTGTTTATCCAGAAGCGAAAAACAGTATTTTACTGAGATTTTAACGTCAATATAAAGGTTATTCCGTGAAGAATCAAGACAACTATGGAATGGAAGTATAATTTTTCGAATTTGACATTAATATGAAAGAAAACAACAGTCAAAAATCACAAGAGAACATCAAATGTTATTGATTCGTATGGAAAAATATAACTATGGCTGTGGCTCGATAACATTCTGCAAGCAGCTTACAAGTTTAAAAAATGAAGGCTGCATTACCTGAGTGAGTTGTAATCTTATTTCGTCAACAATAGTTTTATATTTCTTACATTTTGGTGTTGTATAGACGTTTTGTAGCCTTGTTGGTTGTTTGTTTTGGCCATACAAACTATGACAATGATACAAAGTCAAAGGTTTCCTTTTTCGATTGACTCCAGCATCTTTTGCTTTAAATATCATGTTATATTTTCTCAGAAGTATTTTTTTCAATTTTGAAGCTCAGTTTTCTAGATATTATTTTCGAAAAAAGCTGTAATATTCACTAAAAAAGCTGCCATAGCCGACAGCAAAAAAACATTTTGTCAATTTTCCTGTGTTTTCCCCATTTCCTAGGATACGAGGCCTCATCACGATTCATGAATAAGGTTTATGCCAAAAAGAAAACGAAACAAAAAATGAAAAATTACCAAAATAGGGAAAACTAAAAAAAATCCAAAAGTTCCATATAAAAAAAGATCAGCGGGTCGAGTAACAGTATTTTGAACAAGATGTGAAGTTACAAATTTTTCCCAAAAAAATTGCAATGTTTTTTGCATGGCTCCAGCGAGCCGAGCCTAAACTATGCATTCTTTGGTAGGCATGTATTAAGTGGATCAATAGAGCGTACAAACATGATTACAAAAATAATATTGAAATATTGAAAAAAATTTCGTGGTAAATCACCTGTTATCCCCCATATGACACCCTAAAACCATCAAAGTGCCTCTTGTCCTCTCTCGCAAATCAAAACACATTCTTTCGAAAAATTCCTCCATGAAAATAATTTATTTGGACCCTTCCGAAGGTAAGTTTGTGATACTTTTTCATCATTACACGCTTTTAAGTAACCTGAGTCGCTAATGGAATGGTTTTTTATTACTAAACAAACTTAAAGGGTCATGAATTATTAATATTTAATTTCATGTAAATTGATATTAAAACATACACTTCTGATCTCATAAGAACACTGGATGAAAATTCGAAAAAATTAAAAAACAATTAAAAAAATTTTTTTCTAAATCTTTAAAAATCCTAAAATATGCATTTCTTGTTACAGAACATCAAATAAATGTCTCGGTCTCTTATAACTGAGGCAAATCCTCGGGTAATTGCAGACGATGTAACAATTGAAGAGGTCGACATTGACCATGTGGCTGTTAATACTCCACTGAATCACAAAGCTACAGAAAGTGTTGTAAAATCGTTTCCTGGTAATACAGTGCAACTGGCGACCGAAAAGGGAGAAATTGGCATTGTGAAGGGTGGAACTTTCTCAATATGCTGGAATCCCATGTGATCATCCTCACAATGTTCTCCAATCAACTGAAAGATCGGCTCTGCAATTTCTTCTGCCAACAATATTCACACTGTCATAGCGTGGGGCGAATAAGCCTATCTCAACCCTGACACTTGTATCTGTCCTCATCCATGCGGGTGTGGATTACATAAGGATCATTGACTTTGGAATGAAGCAGAAGCTCGACACCTTTCCTGCCATTCCCAGAGACTTCCTTGCATCAAATGCCAGACCACCGATACCCATTAAATGAATGGGACACAAGGAAACGGAAATGGGAAACGAAAATGCTGACTCAGTACTTTTTAAAACTTTGGAAAGTGATATGTCAATAACAAATGACTGATTATCATTGTAATATAGTTTTTTGTCCGATTATGTACATCTATCTGATGGCATTAAACATTACTCGAAAATTTTTACTTTCGGAACTATAGATGACGTATAGTTATATAATTGATTTATATATATTGTGCCGATTTCTCGTTCTTGTGCACACGTATGACAGTTTTTTTTTGATTATTTGATTTGGCATGCCCCTCTACTATTTTATGAAAGAAATCATTAGCCTCTCGATATGTGCCAAGAAATTCACTTTATTGGCATATTTGTAGCCTACAGGTGACGGCCTATGAATGTAAAAAAGTTTAAGACCACAGGTGTGAATTATTCAGTTTACCGACTGGAACTTTCTCAGTTTCATGACTGTTTGCATGAACTATTTCAAAGTGTGCTTGATAGAGTTACCCAAGACATTCCTGAACATGATCAAGTACGTTTTGTACTACATTCGTCTCTGCTTGAGTATCCTATATTGTTACCTGTTATGGTCCCTCAATGACTTACCACTGAACGGGTGTTAGCTGAATTTGAGCGCATGTTTGGCTAGAGCCCTTGTTGTCTTTCCAGTAAACAAACAGTTCGTCCTAGCGCAAAAATGGTTATCCTACATTGTGTAGATAAGAATGAGATTTCCATTCAGCATGCTCGCAACAGAGGAGAAAACATGTTTGTTCCTATTTGTAGCACAATTATTGTCGTGCCCCATGAAGAAACCAATACAGCCTATGAAGTTCAAGGATGTTTTTTGCATGGTAGGTTGTTCGTTCTGTCAAAAGTTGTTATTGTGTTTGTATTTTAACACCCTTTGTATTTTTTATAGGATGTATGAATTGTTATGCCCAGGATACCATAAATCCTGTCAAAAGGTAAAACGATGCATAATCTTCATCAGGACACCATGGAAAAAGCAACATATCTGAAAGACTATGGATACAATATGGTAGAAGTGTGGGAATGTCAGATCAAAAGGGAATTGGAACATGATGAGTTATTTTGACCAGTATGAAATGATCAAGTGTATTTCGATTACCTGATGTCGGACAAGATTAACATGCTTGACGCCAAACCTGGTGAGTGATGAGACAATTGAGATACGTTATGAGTATACTGATAATTTTATCAAACCCGATGATGCCAAGACAAATGTGGTTGTTGCTGCCACATATGCCCGTCTTAACCTTTACAATGTATTGGACATGCTCTCTACTGCTCTTGACAGAGTGTTCTCTACCACAACACAGATTCCATGATTTTTGTTAGCAAACCGGATCAACCAGAGCCCCCCACGGGTCTGTACCTTGCTCAATTAACTGATGAATTAGGAGGTGATTACATTACCACCTTTTTTTGGGTGGACCAAAGAATTATACTTATTGTACCAACACCAATAAAGTTGAGACCAAAGTATGTGGGATTACATTAATTGCACGGCTAAAGCACAAATAACTCGGGATGCAAAGAGCAAAAACATTGAAACAAAGTGTATGAAAAAGAATTACAAGATATTTTTAATAAGCATGTAATTGTGGACGATTACAAAACAATACCTTATGGATATTAGTTTTATGAGATCATTTGATCTCAAAGTTAATTTTCAATGTTTAGTTTGTGATAATGATCCAAATTCACACCTGCTTCTTCTTCTAACATCGCAACTTGCTTTTCACTTTTTTTATCCAAGTCCCAAATCATCATTTCCTTAGCATTCATACAATAGGCAAAGTTGTTCCCCTGGGGGGGCCCGAGGTATGATTATGCCTGTTAATGTTTCCAATATGATTTGCATCAGCACAATGGAGTGCAGCATTGGATTGTCAATAAGCATTGCAGGTATCATGTTTTTCTCTATCAAAAATCTCATCAAATCCGAAGTTGCCATATTTCCCTCTTGCATAATGATTTTGTCCGAGAGTCAGTGAGTCTATTTCTCCAAGTCATGATGTTGCTTCTATCAAATGCTTGTTTGATCTGTTCAAAAATCAGAAAAGGTCAGAGCTTTATAGAATACCAGATTGTTACATTTTTCAATTCCAATAAGAAAGAAAGTTCAAAATGGATTGATAATCAGAAAACCCTGGGGTTTGTCTTACGTCCTTTAAGAAATCAACAGTTGTTTCATGATTTTTTCCAAGTTTATGAAATGTTTTGTTACATCTTCTTAGTATTCTAAATCCATAACCAGAATAGCTGAGAACAAATTATCCCAAAGTATTCCCTGCTCAAGCACATACAATAACCATCCCTCTTCCTCCAATAACTGAGCATTTGTAACATTTTTCAATTTCATGAGCAACAGTTTCCGCACATATATGGTTTTTCACAATGTCTACATTTGACCATTTTTGAGGCATAATGTTTCTCCAAGTCATGTTTCCTTCGAATGATCAAAAATCAGAAAGGTATGCAGCTTTTATAGAGTTTGTTCATAGAACAATCTGTTTCTCCAAGTCATGTTTCCTTCGAATGATCACAAATCAGAAAGGTATGCAGCTTTTATAGAGTTTGTTCATAGAACAATCTGCATTGTGTCGACAAACTTTTCCATGATGTTGTAGTCTGTAGAAATGTATCTGTGCTCAATGCATTGCATACCAAATCTTTTCGATGAATTTTCGGATTTAAAAAAGGACTGGCTATCTATCCTATTTGTCACATTGAATGCACAAGTCCTCCCTAAGGAAAGATAACCTCTTCAACTGATTCATGCCGAAAACATTTGTCTTTGGATTGGTCAAGAGCGATAAGTTTAATGGTAATTTTACAAGTACAAATTATTGTTAATGGACAATACTCAAGCACTAGACCTCAAAATTATAGATTTAAAATGTCTGTTAAGCCAACCTGAAAGCTACTATTGTCTAAACAAAGGAAGACTGCATCACAGACTTTCATTATTTGCTTGCCAAACCGTAGGCTACTGCACCCAGTATCATTTATTAATTATTGTCCAAACCACTATGTTTGACTTATTCATAACTATAACAATGAAACTATAGTTAAATATAGGCAGATATCCAAAGTTAGCTTTATCTGCCTTGATCATTCTTACATTCTTTTAAAAGATTAATCGTTTCTAAACGCTCACGAAAAATAATGCAAAGAGTTAGAAAAACATGATCACGGGTTCATCAGTAGGATCAATGACCATCCAGTATTCAACCGTCTGTCGAAATACTGAGCAATTTGGTCAAGTTATCTATTTTAGGGTAGTTACAACACATCTACGGGTAGTTACAACATGTCTACAGAATAAGCATGAACATACGCCACAATCCAACATTCAAACTGTTCTGGCAAACAACACGTTATCTGTTTCCAACGCGAGGGAAAGCTTTAGCAACAACCAACTGGCGCAGATTACGCAGATTGTTTTGCAGTCGATCTTGTCGTTCTTGGAAAGACAACACGCCACAACAACCGCGACTTGTGTATATGAACAGACAACTAACCAGTCAACACCATTTGAAAGGCAAGAACAGCTTGGTCAATTCCCAGTTTTAAGTTCCAGCAGCAGCAGCCGACTTCATCCCATGGACCTGTTGCCTCAATCCAGCAAGCAGCTGGGGCATTCAAGCCAGAGATTCCAAACAAATATGTTTGTGACATCGAAAGTGCTGAGCTTTTTGAGCTTGTTGGTTCCCATTATTCCAATGTGGGTTTCACAATTTCCTCTACGGGAATCTCATTAACACCATGCAGGCCTCAAGTGCTCACTAACATTGAAGAGTGGACAACCCCTTTCAACACATATATGTTAATCATTGTACAAAAATTTCCAAACTGTCCATCAGAACTTCTACAGTACATGGAAACCATCCGTCGTGAGGCAAAAACACATGGCGGTGGTTTACGCTGGTGCATATATGACCACAAATTTCATGACAAAGTCATCATGTGCCGAACATTGTCGTGGGCCAACATTCATATGCAGTCATGGTTGCGTATTTTCACCACTAGCTCTCCTCAGTTGCGGAATGATTGTTCCCTTCTTTCTTCTCAAGCATGCCAAACTAGCCTTTCTAGCATGTTGTTAACATTCCACATGTTAGGTGTTCCTCGGCTGAATGAGCGCAGTCAATGGCACCCTCTTCCACGTCACCTATACAATTCCAGAGGCTCCAATATCCCACAAAACCAGCAAAACAGAACTCTTTTTCGAAAGCGCTCTTATCCTATACCCCCCCCCCCTCAGACTCCTAGATCTTCCACCAAATCAGCACAGTCAACAGGATTTGCATCCACAACATCCCAAGAACGCCCGAGGCACCAATACCCCCTGTTATCAGTATTCTTTACAACACGAGAGCATCTAACAACTTAGTTAACTTTTACGTGACATGTATCTGTTCACTGTTACTATATTCTTGCCAAGTTTTCTACTTTAACCTCCCTGAGTTTTTAAACATTATGCTGGAACGAATTCAGAAATGAGCGTTGAATATCATATATGGTTACGATGTACCGTATTCTGAAACGTTGGTGAAACGATGTACCGTATTCTGAAACGTTGAATATCATATATGGCTACGATGTACCATTTTCTGAAACGTTGGTAATGTCGAAACTGCATAAACTCTCCGATTATCGTAGTCATCTTTGTGATGAATTTTTTAACAAAATTGTAATGAACCCAAATGATAAACTTCATGGGCTTCTGCCTTATAACCCGAGCGTAATTTCTTCGTTAAGGAACTAAAGAAATTTCACTATACCTATATGTAAAACGGACCGTTTCAAAAACTCCTTTATAATTGCAGCCGCTGGACGGTATAATGACCACAGTAGTTCTAGCTTTTATCTTACAATTTTTAATTCTATCTATCTATTGCAAAACATAAAACTGAAGGACCCAGTCTCATTATAGAATTTCTAGCCATTATCATCGACTTACAAAAGATGGAGGCTCGTCTTCCATCAGATAAATTTAACCGTCTATTTGTTGATTTAAATTTGTGGCTAACAAAAAGTCAGCTACACTCCAAGAGCTCCAATCACTAATTGGAACATTAAATTTTGCATGCAAAGTAATTGCCCCGGGTCGAGCTTTTCTACAATGTATCATAAATCTAACACATGTTTATTTCTCAACTCTTTCTGGGAAAATTCTACAAACCTTTCTGTACAGATGCCTCTGTGAGCCTTGGTTTCGGGGGATTTTCTGCATGCAGTGGTTTCAGGGTAAACGGTTGCCTCACCAAACTCTTAACACAAAAAATATTAGCATTGATTCGCAAGAGCTCTATGCTATTCTGGTAGCTTCCTACATATGGGCACCCTTATGGGCTCAAAAACGAATTGTGTGGAATAACCGTTTTCAGCAAACCAGTTTTCAGCAGCTAGCACCGCATGCAGAACATCAACCTCTACCAGAGGAACTTTCTTGTCTGTAGACACTGACTTACGTCGTTATCAACTTGCTTTGTTAACTCAAGGTACGATTAAAACTTATAGCAGTGGCGAAAAACAGTTTATGAATTTCTACTATCAATGTTATTTACATAAGCATGTGCCTCTTCTGCCAACAACGGAAAACATTCTGATTTATTTTGCTGTTTTTCTCGCTAAGACGATAAATCCAGACATCAAAGTCTAACTCACCGCAGTACGCCATAACAATTTGGTTGATGGCTACAACCTTCAAATCACCAAATTTCAATGTCTATCTTCAACGTATATTTTGCGAGATATAAAATGAGTAAAAGGAGTGTACCAATTACATTAGACCATTTAAAATTGTTTCAACACATATTAAGGTCCATTTAAACTGTGCGATTCTCGTATACGATAGTTGTATACAACATCATTTACATCATTTCTACGATGTATTTACATGATAAGATCTGAATATGATTCGTTGTATACGATTGTTGTGGCCGCATGCATTTCAGACGAACAAACATACTGGCCCAAGCAGGAAATGTCACAATTGACACCATCTGTCGCAATCAAAAGGTGAACAAAGCTAAAGATGGATGCCAGGAAGCTAATAGCTTCCTATATTAGCTTAGCGATTTTAAGGCGAAGGAACAAAAAAAAGAAAAGAAAAGAGCCATTTGGACAAGGTCTTGGTTAAAACGTTCAGACCACAGAGTTTATCAGCAATTATTAGAAGAATTGCGACTTGAAAATCCCGAGAACTATCGTTGATACTTGCAAATGGACACATCGACATTTGAGGTATTTTGCAAAATATTATGTTATACAAACTTACATATATATTATGGTTACAACGTTACAGTTTGTTCCTAAATATTTACAAGCATGTATACTGCAAAATAATACTGTTTTAATTACATGTAAATGATGTAATAACAACATAAATACCATCTTTGGTATATATTAAAAGTACAAGTTTAAATAAAATGAAATTATACAAAACTTAGCAAAATGAATATTAATATCCTATTTCTAACTCTGAAAGGACCACAAAACGTCTTAACAGTATCTTCCCATTAAACTCATTATTGATGTTTTGAATGGCCATATAAATATATGATAGCACATAATTATATTAAACTTTATTGAAGGATTTTAATACACAGATTACTTGTAAACCAGTGTTTTACATTGTGGTCATATATATTAGATAATATATATGCTTGTATATATAATTATATTATTATTTATTCAAAAAATTCCTGGTTTCTGATTGGCTAACAGCCAACTGTGAAATTGTCATAACTCAGTGGCTAACCAAATATGGATTTTTCACATTCATATTAGCAAAATGATGTCAAAGAGCCAAATATGAAAAACGCCATATTACTATGACAACGAGAATCATATTGACTCACTGACGCCATTGATATAATGACAACGGCTGCCGAAGCACTAAGGAATTGTTTTTTCTTAATACAAATAAAATACAAATGGTTTCCGTTTGTTTTGAATTTTTAAAATAAATAATAAAACAATTATTGAATTCGGTTTTCATAATATGAAGAATTATCAAGCCCTCAATTTGCCTGTATCACTTCAGGCTTGATAATTCTTCATATCATGCTCAAACTCATTCAATAATTGTTAAATATTGATATATACAGGGTGTCTAAAAAAACGCTATGGAAATTCAACAGGCTGTCATGCAACCTGTTTCACAGGGTCTCACCTCTGCCACGCCCCCAAACACCGGCTCTGGCGAGACCCTGTTCGGGTATGGTCATGTGACATCCCAGATTTGGGGATATAGCGTAATTTGTCATTAGGGTGGGTACGTGGGGCAGAGTTATTAACTACAGCATTTCTAAAAATAATAGAACTTGTCAATTTAGTTAATGATCGCATTTGGCAGTTTTCGAAGTTCTATATTTGAAATAAAACCAATTACACTACGAAAATATGTTATATATGATATGGTTCGCAGCATTTAGACCAGTGATTTAGACTCTTGTTGTCGTCTGTTCTTGCTAAATATATGTGATCACATCGATTTTTAAAAACCGTCCTTCGTATATATTAATATAGCGCAGATCAAATGTATTTGTTAAAATAAAATGGATACATTTTAGTGCATTTGCTAATAAAGCTTATCAACTATGAACTCTCACCTTTACATAAATTGAAAATATGCAGTGCTAACGGTACGTGTTTATATATATATTTTAATGACTTGGGCCTGGCACAATGTTTAGTTTTGTGTAAATATTAAAATGTTCGCGTGTTATATCATTTTGTTTTGGCATATGTGTCTCAATTCATACAGATGTTTGACAAATTTGCATTGATTCTGTCATTGCCATTGGTATAGTATATTGATTTTATGTCAATCACGATTCAAAATATTTACATGTTCGTTTTGTTATATGTGCTGGCTCTAATGCCTTAAAATTACATGCTTAAATTATAACTCTGTATGACTGCACATGTCTTTTGTGACCTTATTACCAAAGCATTTACAAAGTTATTTTAGTACAATTAACATAGTTGCATATATATAGCGCAAGAGAAGTCATCCACATGTTGTACTTTGTTGAATTATTGTAAAAGACAAAACCGATATCGGTTTTAACTAAAACTAAGGAGCAATAATAGACAATTCGCAACAGAAAGCAAACATGCACATTCTGGGTTAGGTCATTATTTAATATACACAAGAAACAGTACAGCTACTAGAGGGCCAACGATAAAGTGTCTATAACAATTCTTCTTCACTACAATTTATAATGACAACAATAGGCTCGATAGCTTTATAGCACAACTCAGGGTTTGACATGCTGTTAAAAAGGAACTTTCAAAATCATTGATGAGTAGATTCCTGCTGTGATGCTTTCTCTACTCTTTCAGTTACCTGGTTTTATTACAGTTCGACAGCCTTAATAGTTTAGGAGATAAATACAGTTTAACTCCTGGGCGACAGGCCCTGTGAAAAGTAGGTCCATAATGGAATATTATTTTGCATATTCATATCTTCGGTTCGGTACATGCTATGTAGATGAAAATACCACCATTCGATTCAACGAGAAATTATATCCTAGTTTTAGTCAAAGACAAACATTATAGCGATTTATGACCTTTGAAGGGTCAAGAGGTATCATATTTCAACAAATTGCATATTTGTTCGAAAAATGTAAACAATGTATCACTAAATCCATACCTTTCACCATACACAACTTCGGCCCCTTCGAACATATCCTTTTCGTTGTAGTCTTGTTCGACTCAAAAACACTATTTACAGTGTTATTTTGAAGCTTGCAGCCTCAGTATTTCATCTTTTATTTCAATCTGTTGCGATATTAGTGAACTCAGCGGGATATTTTTTGACTGGAAATGTGATTTAGATTCACCAAAACATCGGAAATCGATTCTAAAGGTCAAATTACATCTGCAGCATGATTTGCACGTGCATCGGGCTACGGGTACTTCTTATTCGCTAATTTTAGCGTGTAGCAGGCGCGTTAAAAACTCAAAATAAACATTTGTACTGGCTGTATTCAAGTGAAATTCTGGATATAAAAGCGCTTGAATACAACAAATATTTCACTCATATTGATTTGTGGCGAACTCTGAAGAATTCACAAGTTATTCACGCTATTGTGGAAACAAAATTCCGAATGTTTGGCCAAGCGGTGAGTAAATATATGATTGTTTCGGTTTGTGTGATGCTTTGACGGCATTCGACCGCCCGTTGAAAAGGCTATTTTATTAGGATTTTAATGGTATTCTTTGTTTTAAAGGGGGGTGAATACGCGCTGAGATATTTACGTTATAAACTTGTCGATAAAGAGTTAAAATACTCTTTGTTTTAAATAATATACATTTGCTATTTTTAGTTACTGCAATAAGTGCTCAATAATGCTACCCCTACTGAGTATAGCACATGGTCATGACTCGCGTGACCACACCATACCAGGGTCTCTCTGGAGCAGGGGGTGAGCGGAGGTGAGACCCTGGGAACGAGGTTGGCTGCCATGCATCATAAACGTGGCAAAACAATTCAATTTTTTACATAGGATGAAAGAACAGTTGTTTAGCTTTTCAATGATACTCTTTTTAAATCGTAACGATCATAAATGGCCATTTACTCGTCAAATAAAAATTGCTGGTTGAAATCACATTCTTCCAGCATTGGGAATTGCATCGAAAATGAAACATAAACAATTCCCAAGAGGGAAATTTGAATGTTAAATTATCTAAAATAAGCTCAACTTCATCCACTCATCAATCTTCGTCTTAGTGAGACAATAACTCAGTACGAATGTCCTCTAAACATGGCTCAATTAACCCCTGAACAGAGAACATTTGTTATCAACACGTTTCATGAAACAAATAGTAATCTATTCTAACTGCCCTCGTGCTCCCATTGGCTTACAGGTAGATAGTTTTGGGAAATGCGACCCTGTAAGCTGAGGAGCGAGGGAGTAAATTTTCCTTGGGGAGTGGATGAGTGGGGAAAAGTGCTAAAACAGAATCTGACACAATATTGCTGCTTCCTACCTATATATAGACACATGTATACACAGCTATGTCTTTCCGACTAACACACACAGGCATCGTGTTTAACAAACTGACCCTGAACTATTGAGATCCCTTGTTTTATAGCCAATGTTACGCATGATTGCACTTCGAATAGCTTGCAGTAGGCTCGCGTTGCTTTTGGATTGACTAACTTTGCATGATTAATGTACTTCAATTCCCAACAGTGGAAGAATGTGATTTCAACCGCCAATTTTTATTTGGCGAGTGTGTGGCCATTTCTCATCGTTACGATTTTAAAAAGGTATCATAGAAAAGCTAAATAACAGCTCTTTTGTCCTATGTAAAAATTGAATTGTTTAGCTAAGTTTATGATGCATGACAGCCTGTTGAATTTCCATAGCAGCATTTTTTTTAGACACCCTGTACAGCAAAAACACAAATGAATTCATTATTTATATAGTATTTAATTGCTATAACTTCAGGCTTGTTGTATGACCACCTTTCTCTAGCTACCAACATATTATATTATATTATTATTATGATTTTTAATATGGTGATAATCTGTCTGTATTCAACTGTTTATTATATCTTTTGATAGTGATTCTTGAAGAATGTGGAGTGTCAATTGCAGAAGAAATATACAAATATGAGAGAGGCAGTACCTGCAGGGCAGAGGCTAGCATTAACATTGAGATTCTTGGCAACTGGAGAGTCATATGCCAGTTTGCATTATCAGTTCTTTGTCTCTGTGCCTTCCATATGTCACATAGTACCAGAAGTATGTGACATTATCTATAATACATTGAAGAGTGAATATTTTAAATTCCCTGAAAGTGAAGAGGACTGGCTGAAGATAGCAACAGGATTTGAGGAAAAATGGCAACTTCCACATTGCGTTGGTGCTGCAGATGGGAAACATATCAGAATTATACACCCGCCTAAAAGTGGTTCTGAATTCTATAAGTACAAAGGTTTCTTCAGCATTGTTCTAATGGCAGTTGTTGATGCAGATTACAACTTCATTTTTGCTGATGTTGGTTGCCAGGGCAGAGTTAGCGATGGAGGTGTGAGGAAAAACACCATTTTCTGGAAAACGTTGGTCAACAATGCACTTCACTTACCAAAACCTAAGCTACTTCGTTTGTTGCTCTCTCAGTATCTTGATGTCAAGAGAATTCCAGTTCCATACTTCCTTGCTGGTGATGATGCATTTTCCCTCAAGCCAAATGTTTTGAAGCGCTTTGCCCAAAGAGCTCTCACAGATGAAAAAAGAATCTTCAACTGTAGGCTTTCAAGGGGCAGGCGTGTCAGTGAGAATGTTTTTGACATTCTCACCAATAGGTTTCGAGTCTTTTCTATACTTCTTTCAATCAAACCAGATAATGTTACAAAAGTTGTCCTTGCAACTTTGGCCCTCCACAATTTCCTTCAATCTACCAATTCCAGTAGGTACATTATTCCTCCAGGTTCTGTTGATAGTGAAGACCAGGTGCCTTGGCAGTGGAATGTATTAGTATGATTAAACAGAATATACAGTCACATAATTTGATATTGGAACATGATTCATTATAGAATTCAAATAACTTTGCCTTTCATTATATAACATTTTATAGACACAAATCAGATAACTATCAGTTTGTCAGTGCAAAATGGAAGTAGCTGAAAACTGTTTGTGAACTTTGTGGTTTTAAATAATAATAAAAAGCATGTATTTGTATTTTACACTGTAAAACTTGATAAACATCTAATTATACAGACAAAAAGTGGTCAATATGTCTAAAAATGGAACTATAAACTTATAAAACTATATAAATTGAAAAGATGTTGAATTTCGGATTATAACCAGTATGTAAAAAATTCAGAATATATTTATAGTTCCATTTATTTGAAACACATACCATGACCACTATGACATGTATGTTGAGATACAGTAATAGACCACTTCTGAGTGCCTCGACCTGGTGTTGATCCAGAGCATAATTCGGAAGTGGCCTATATATTTGTGGATAACACATACAAATTACAAGATTAAACAGTACTTATGTAGTGTTATTTTAATCAAAATCAAATGCTGAAACTGCAACTCTTGAAATGCGAATCATCGTGCATAGCCCGAACAATTAATTATTGAATTTTAATTTTGACATTTTCTTTCCCATAGCCTTCAGGTACCTTAGCAAGTTGCCTACCCACGTTTTTAACAAAAAAATCATAGGAAAGTTGTAGGATTTTAAAACAAGATTTAAAATTCTTACAACTTTTTCGTATTGTATGCAACAATCATAAGCAAATTGTGGGGCTGTATACACGATACGATTTGTGTCGTATACAATGTGTATACACCATTTTTACGACTATCGTATACGAGAATCGCACTGTGTAAATAGACCTTTACACTCACAGACATCACCAACACACAATGAAACCATGATTTGGGCAGCGATTTCCATAGCATTTTTCAGGTTTTTGAAGATTGGTGAAATGACTTGCTCTGCTTTTGCCGATCAGATGTAAGTTTTCACTCTTGGCCCAAGAGGATTATCACACTGCTCACTGTGTAGGCCACAGCTTTAGAATCGGAGCAGCTACCACCAGCTGCATCCCAAGGTTTGCCTCATTGGCTTATTCAAACGCTAGGAAGATGGTCTTCTGATTGTTACCTCAGATATATTTGTATGCCAAATCAACGTCCTTACAGACGTTTCAAAATGGTTCATTGCAGAATGAGATGAACACTCGATTGTTGTTTCTTGGTCTATGGGGATCACACACTATCGTTGTGTGATTGTGGAGGCAATTGCTCCAGTATGAGGTCGCAATTTTACCATAAACTTCACGTTTTCTTTACAGAATTTGGCAAACTGGCATACAGCCAATTCCCATTTACAAAAATCAGTCTATTTCTGCATACGAGTATATGTGCTGAGCCAGATCAGTGTTCTAAGAAATATTTCCCTGATCATTTTTTCCGAGGGCCCAGCTCAGAGTATATGTCTTGCAAGGCAGGCTAGGGTCCAGCTCTAAATGGAGTATATTTTCTAGCTGGACTCAGGACCCAGCTCAAAATCTGTGTGGTAAAAGTATCTGTCTTGGGCATATTAGGACCCAGCTGTAAATCAGTATATGTCCTAATCGACTTTGCCCAAGATCCAGCTTTTCAATACAAGTGGCCCGGGAACCGCTCAGCACCCAGCTCTTCGCAGATAAAAAATACAGTATATAGAGCAGTTGTGCCACACTTCCATAACCCCACAAACCTTGTGTTCTTATGTGTGTCGTTATATTAAATATCTCAATATATATATAAAAAACACATTCGGCAAGGACATTAAATGGTAATTTTTACGAATACAAATTATTGTTAATGGACGATAGTCAATACGCTAGACCTGAAAATTATAGATTTAAAATGTCTATGTTAAGCCAATCTGAAAGCTACTATTGTCTAAAGAAAGGAAGACTCTATCACAGACTTTCATTATTTGCTTGCCAAACCCGTAGGCTACTGCACTCAGTATACTTTCTAAGCATCCGAGTTATCAGTGTTTGCCATGTGATCCCTCGCAGCCACATGTATCCCACTGCCAAGGAATTTTTTCAAAAGTCAAAGCTTTTGAATAAATATTTAGGCATTGTATTGGCACAATATCCTAACATTTTCTGATGGCAACACAAACATTTTAATAGTATATTTAAGAAGTGTTTAGTTAATTGATGTTGTTCTACTTACAGATTCTAATGGAAAATATATTGACTGTAAGAAATTTTGCCCTAACAAACCTGTCAAGCATATCTATTGCCCAACTATTTCATGGACAGTCGATGAATTAAACTGTAATAAATTAGGAAATCCATCCCATATCATAATTCATACCAGAACTAATGACATCGAACAGTCAGCACTAGATGCTTGTGCTGATAATTTTCAACTAATGATGGATATTACTTCACAAAAATATCCAAGTGCTAAGATTCTAACACCAGCCTTACTTATACGTGCTGACAATCCTGAATCAACCCACAAAAGTTTCAATTCAAAGATGCAACACCTTTCAGCTAGCCCGAAAGTCCAGTTTATAAATAATGAGAACATAACAGAGGATGTGCTACATGACAATAAACACATAAAGAGACGCAGGATCGAACTTGTTGATATCCAACTTTAATCTTCAACAGAGTTGGTAACCGTAGACAACAAACAAAACCTCTATCAGACCATTTCCCTCATGCAGCCAATGGAACAGATCAGAAATTTAACCGAGATCACTAATATATCCAACTGACACAAAGCCGAGTACCAACATATCAGCCATATATCAACCCTCTACCCAATCTTCCCCAAATGATCCCTAAAGCATATTCTCCTACATGGAACAGATCAGAAAATTAACCGAGATCACCAATATATCCAACGGACACAAAACCAAGTATCAACATATCAGCCATATATCAAACCCTCTACCCAATCTGCTCCAAATAATCCCTAAAGCATATTCTCATACATCTTGGCAAAACCCTGGATTACCTCCAAAGTCTTATGCACAAACAGTTGTAGACAGGCACAATCAGACCAACCAACATACAGACCATTTAGATCTTGGCACCATGATGAGCCTATTAAAGATCTACGAAATGATTCGTCAAATTAGATAAGTATATAGAATTGACTTTTCCTTTGACCTGATATCTTGCCATTTCAATTGTTTTCCTGTCACAAGGATTTTTTAATTCATGTGTTTTACTAAATTTAGGCCACTTTTAGAGCCACAGTTTATAACAATAAGCTGATGGAATATTCATGGCTAGGTAAAGGCTCTGTGTTTGAAAACAAGTTAAATAATATTGATTTTAGAAACACATTTAAATCATGCAACATTGTCATTCTTTCTGAAATTTGGGGGCACGAAATCTTAAATTTTCCAGGTTTTGATATTATTGAATTAAACAACCCAAGAAAATTGAGAACAATTCTGGTGGAAGCTCAGGTGGAATTTTAATTGCAGCCAAGACTTCTCTTAAAAGAGGCATAACCTATGTAAAGAAATCTGAAGACTTTATCTGGTGCAAATTGGACAAAAAGTTTTTTCCATTTGTCAAATGATATTTTACTATGTGTAGGGATGCACCGGAACCGGTTTTTTAAGTTCCGGCCTGAACCGGATCCGACCGGAACTGGAAAAAAGTTCCAGCCGGAACCGGAACTAATTTATTAAGCCATATATAGTCATATGTTACTTTGTCCGCTGCCAGACAAGCAGACACTTCAAATCATTAAGTAGAGAGATCAAAAATGTCAGAATAAAAAGACTGACAAACGTTAAACGTCATAATGAAGTGTTAATAGTGTACATTTCCCTTGCGTAGTCCAACTTTCTTCCTACTGTGACCTTTTGTTAGACACAAAAACGTTTGATATTCTATCTCTCTGAAAACGACAGAGTTTCGGTTCCGGCCATGCTTTTTCTACTAGTTCCGGCTGGAACCGGAACTCTAAAAAATCGGGGATCCGGCCGGAACTAACCGGCCGGAACCGAGTTCCGGTGCACCCCTAACTATGTGCTTCTTACATCTTCAATTGATTCGCCTTATTTTGATTCAGAAAACGTTTGTATCTTAGAAAACGATACTAATTTTTTCCAGAGCATTGGCTCAGTTATACTAGCTGCATGGAGACTTTAATGCCCGCACAGGAAGTAATAAAGCTTTCATAGATGCAAAAAACTAAAAATATATTACAGGAGATGATTATCCATTACACAAAAACAACATACCCCCAAGAAAAAAATTAGACAACTATGTTAACAACCATGGGAAAACACTACTTGAAATATGTAAATCCCTCGATTTGTGAATTTTTAATGAAAGGTTGAGAGGTGATGCTTTTGGCAAAATAACCTTTCATGGATGTAGAGGAATTAGTACTGTAGATTATATTATATTATAGGGAGTCATGAGTTACTTGATAAATTTGATAGTTTTCCAATGCAACAACCCACACCATTGTCTGATCATGCACAACTCACTTGCAGATTAAGAACTGACAAACCGTTCATAGAACAAAAAGATAAAAATACAAAACTTTTTGATCTTCCAAGCCAATTTAAATGGAATTCAGAATCTAATGAAAGATTTGTTAGATCTTTGCAATCTGATCAAGTCCAATCATTGATAAATGATTTTGAACTCGCACATTTTGAACTTCATAAAGTAGATATCAAGACAGCAGTCTGTATGTTTAATAATATCATAGAGACTGCGGCTAAAACATCGTTGCAGTTAGCTTGAACTAAGAATTCAAAATGGAACTAAGAATTCAAAATCCAAAAATTCACAGATTTGGTTCAATGGAGATTGCAGAGATTTTCGTCTAAAATTAAAAAACAGCCAATCGCCTTCACAAAAACCCATTTAATATCGATACGAAAACCAAGTATCATTATATGACGAAACAATACTAGGATTTACTTTGTACGTTATAAAAAGAAAACATTTCATAATGATATAATTCAATCACTGGTGAAAGAGAAAAATACAAAGCAATTCTGGTCAACATTAAAATCAGCCAGTAATACAAACACCATAAATGAACAAACTATTCCTGTTGACAACCTTCTCAATCACTTTAACACTTTACACTTGAATATTGACAAGAACTATTGTACACCAAACCAAAAAATTATTATTGATCAAACTAATATTTCTTAGTCCAATCAAAATAATCGCTCAAACATACCGATCATTGGCAGTGAAATTAAGAAAGCTATAAAAAAGCTAAAAAGTAGCGACGTCGCAGGTGCAATAATCCACAAAGAATACATAATACAAAGACATTTCACCCATTGACTTTGCAACACAAGCTCTTGCTATTCGTTCAAATTACATGTATTTGTTAAAATACACACTCTCTGAACTTTATCGAATTGATATCGGCAACACAAACTTAGCCCCCCACCCTTATGTAAAAATTTTGTTATCTCCCAAAATCTGGGAGACATGTGACCAGCCTGGACCAGGGTCTTTCCTCCAGCAAGGCACGTAGTGGAAAGAGCCTGGGTACGAGGTTGGAAGTGAAGATACTGTGTTCGAAAGAATTTGTATTGCTGCATGTATGGTTCCTTTGATACATGCTGTATATGTGATATTCGGTTTGAATTCAATTATTCAGGAACTCAATTTTGGTTTCTTCAGTGTATATCTTTTGCCAATCCAGTTTTGCCAACTGAGATATGAGAGATAACAATTTGCCCGATTTGCTGACAAGTGGGGGGTGTTCCACCCCCCTCACCCCCTGTAGCGCCGCCCCTGGTTACCAGTTGTCTAGGCAAGTTATTTTGTTGCATTCTCAATCAGGTGCGGATTGAGGTTTTTCCATACGTTAGTCAAAGTTTTCAGATATACAATCTAGTTGTACGAGCGGTGAGGCGAGAGGAGCCTGGGGGGTCTGATTTTTTAACCTCAGAAATGCCATTTGCAACACTCTGAGAGCAGCTTCAACACAAAATGGGAGACAATTATAGCAATTTTCAGACTCTCACAACTCGCTCCTTAGGGAAAACTAAAGGAAAAAGTACTTGCAGAAAAACTAGTTTCATATTATTCTGACACTGCAATGGAGCAGTGAAAAATTTGTTGGAACTTGCATCTTCAGGTATCTAGACTGCTGCTCTACCCCAATGAGCTATCGAGGTAACAGGGGTTGGTTGCGAGTCTTATCCAATCTCATCTGGTCGAAATGTAGCAATTTTGAGTGGTATTGTTTTAAACGTAAATATCTTTCAAACTATACATCGTATGGAAACAGAAATTGCATCGTTCGAAAGAGGAGAACTTCCACTTTCCAACAATACCAATTTCAATTTCATCATAAGTTTGGTTGATGTGATAACTTGCATAAATTTGCATAAAGTATAATATAAAAAATGTTGCAATTTCCAATATTTCTTACTCTCCAAGGATAGTATGGCACCAAATTAAGTCTGTGATACCCACAAAAGAACACTCAAATCACTATTTGCAAAATGTCTTTATTTCTACGGTTACTATACACATGCTTAGATAATCAGTACACTGTTGAATTGGTTATATCAGTGGCATGTAAGATATATATACACTTGACCAGTCTATTATTTATGTAACAAACAATCAAACATGTGCTCAAGGCTCATTTTACTTTGCCTAGGAATCAGGAGTTTTTATGCCTAAAATACCATAAATTTTCGAGAAACAATAAAATTATACGAATATTTAAGAATATATAGTTTCGATCTAGCGGAACTTTTTGGTGGTATTTTCGTATTTCTATTGCAAATACTTGTGGAGTTCTTTAATATTTAATCTTCCCGTCATATACGTCGGAAATCAATATTGGCGGATCGAATTGAGTTAAGTACACAAAGCCTTAATTTAAAGCCTTAATTTAAAGCCTTAATATTTACACTGCATTTATATTGGTTATCCTCGGTATTAATGGCCTTCTGAGTTCTGACGGTCCTTCAACCGCAAAATTCATAGCTAAATCTCAATCGAGATATGTGCATGACGGGGGCACGCATTGCTGCGCATCTTGTTCGCTTATAAATATTGTTATACAGCCTAAAACGAAATAAAATTGACACATCACATTAAATTTACCTTATTGCATGAACTACGCAGTACATGACGTGGCACGCTCTTCAGAATAAAGATCTTGGCACCAATACTTCTACTTGTTAATAAACTGTAGCTCATGCTATTCATGGCACCTAGCAACTGCTCAACCAAACTCTCCAATATAGCATCGATTTTCCTTGCAAGATCAGCCCAAAAGTCTTGTAAGACAGCTAAATCATTCACAGCGAATGCGGATTGAACCGTTTCCTAAATACTATAAGGATTGAGAGTAGCAGACGTTTCCGAATTTTCCGTAGAAATCTTTAAATTGAAATCTTTCTACAAAGCTCCAACATGACACTTTGAATGAGCACACAAGCTCAGAAAGACTTTACCAACCATCAAATATTAATGATATTCCAAATAATAGGGCACCCCTGACTTTTGTAAATCGGTCAGAACTCCCCACAGATCAGTCAAAATCGAAAAACATTGCTTCTTTCCATGGAAGTAAGCGTTTAGACCAAGCAGAACACTGGATTTTGACTTTTTGACTGACCAACTTTGCATATGTCAGCTGCTCATTGACTTGATTAAGCTTGTTGGCTCAGAAAATTGCATGAAATTTGACCACTGGACTACACGTCGATTGGAATGTTAATTGCCAGCGCCGCATGATAATAGATACTGGAATGTTATAAGGTGCCTCTGCATGATAAAAGATAACTGGACTATTGTTTGAAAATTTAAGACTTCAAGCTTGCAATTTTTACGTTAGTCGTGTGACCGGTTTGACGACCCCTAGATCCGCCCCTGTTCTCGATGGTAGGTTACTTGAATTTGTCAAAACTAATAATACACTACATCCGTCAGAAATTGGTTGAATCTGGAAATTGAACTTCTGATCATATTTTTTCACTTAGAACTTTAATTGATAAATATGTCTTGAACACAACCAAAGGGAAGTTGTTATGTTGCTTTGTCTATTTTCACAAGGCGTTTGACTCAATTTGGCACACTGGCCTATTATTAAAGTTACTTAAGTATAATATTGATGGACAGTTCTATAATCTTATTCAAAAACAGAATGTAGTGTTAAAATTTAATCAAAGAACTGATTATTTTAAATACAACAGAGGAGTACGTCAGGGATGTGTCTTATCCCCGATGTTATTCAATTTATATATGAATGAGACCCCATAATTTTGCCAAATGGATCATCTCTTAACAGCCTATTTTATGCAGATGACAGAGTATTATTATTTACTAGTGCCACAGGTCTGCAGAACATAATTAACACTCTCCATTCTTATAGTCAAAGCTGGTTTTTAAATGTTAATCCAAAGAAAACTAAAACCATTATATTTCAAAAACAATGCCGCAAATCAACCCTAGAGAAACATTCTTTTTTTCTCAATGGTTCGCAAATCATGCACCAGATTATACTTATTTGGGCTCCACAATCTCCAGCAATGGAAGCTTTGCATTTATATCAAAACAAATATCAATTGATAAAACGAAGCATAATGAGATAAGGATATAGCTTATATCATATTACAGTAAAACATATTGACATGCATTGCCATTGCCATTGGGACCGGGTGTATCACTGTATTTGTTTTAATTAATACAGTAAATCGAAATCCACAATGACTATAGTCGAAACAGGTAAATATCTTTATCTTCGTGGTAACATAAGCCATACTAAAAATCTTGCTAGTTGGGCAATACGAAAAAAAATTAAAAATGCACAAATTTGAGGTGTTGGAAAAACATGAGCCATCCCCCCTGGAGAAAGACATGCAACCTCCTCCCTGATTGTTTGCACCATACCTGTCTCAATTGAATTTTTCCCTAACCACAATAGTTGCAAAGTGAATTTTTCACTTTGCACTAAAAATGTGACACTGATATTTATATTGAACTTAACAATAACATTATACATCAGGCTAATGCTGTCAAATTTTTAGGTGTAATAATAGATCAAGAACTAACATGGAAAAACCATATAAACTCAGACAAACGACATTATACAAACAAAAATACATTAAATGTACTTTATTATGCATTAGTTTATCCGTATCTTAATTATGGGAATTTTATAATATGGGGTAACATGTACTCAACAAGGCTGCTAAAAATACTGAATATTACAAATTATCAGATTGATGAATTTTAAATCCTATCTTGAACACACAAAACCATTATTTCAAAAATTGAAGATCTTGAATATCTTTAAGATTAATGACTATTTAAGTTGATTATTTATGTACCATTTTAAACATTTACAAAATCTATTTTTTAATGGCTACTTCATACAAAACAATGAAGTGCATCATTACAATACTCGCAATTCTAACAAATTGCATGTCAATTATAGTAGAACTAATTATGCAAAACATACTATTGTTAATAAGGGAGTTAAAATATGGACTCTCTTGATAAAGAAACTAGCAATACTATGTTTTATCAGACCTTCCAACTTTGTGGCATGAAATGAGTGAGATTTAGTTTTTTTCCTGTAATATTATTGATATCAGCGGGCTGGCACCTGCCGTAGGCAAGACGTTGACATAGGGGGGTTCGGAGGCATGCCCCCCCCCCCCGGGAAAAGTTTTAAATCTGGAGTCTCTGAAATGCCATTTCCTGCATTTTGGGAGAAGATTAACAGAATTCTAAAGATACAAAAATGGCATTAAAAAATCTCAAAAGTAACACTTTTTGGACATCTGCATGCTATAATAGATAAATAGTTAAAGTTAAAGAGTTAATGTTTATAATTTATTCATATTCTGAACAAGTAAACAACACCATATATGGAGGTTGAACTTGGTATCATACTAGATTAGGTCAGACATTCGAACAGCGAGGTTCAATCTTTATAAAGCGTTTGTACAAAGTATTCTTCTATTAAATATAAATACATATCTCTATTAAAGTAAACACAGAGATATTACATTGGCGACGAGGATGGCTGAAGATCCAGCACCGCAGCAGGCACAAGGCAACATAAACGTTCATAATCAGTCGGTTTCTATACAACCCGTGCCAGAATTTAATCCCGATGCAGAAGTGGGCACCAGTTTAGCAACGCGTTGGAATACGTGGATAGAAGATTTCGAAATGTTTGTCATCGCTAGTGGTATACAAGATAAAAAGCAAAAACGTGCTTTACTACTCTATCAAGCCGGTTCACGAGTACGTGAGATATTTCAACAGCTAACCGAAACAGGGACAGACAAAGATTACAATGTCGCTAAAGCAAAACTCAAAGACCATTTTGAGCCGCAAAAGAATCGTCGATACGAAGTGTTTAAATTTCGCGAAGCTAAACAAGAACCGAATGAAACGCTTGACCAATTTCATACTCGATTACGGTCGTTGGCGCAGACGTGCACCTTTGCTGATGCTGATTTCGAAATAGAACAACAGATTATTATGGCGGGTACTTCATCACGAATACGAAAGAAAGCTTTACGAGACCCTACATATATTCTGAAAGATATTCTCGTTGATGGACGGCGTGATGAACAAAGCGCATATCAGGCACAAGATATCGAGGCGAAAGATCCGAAATACGACAATTTAAACGAAGTGAAATCGAAGCAACAATGTCATTTCTGTGGAGGTTCATACCCACACAAAAGAACTTGCCCAGCAAAAGGGAAAGACTGTCATAAATGCGGGAAGCAAAATCATTTTGTGAAGGTTTGTCGGGGAAAACCGAAACGAGAGCAAAAAGAAAGCAAACGATCCATAAATCCGCTTAAAATTACGAACAGTGATTCCGATTCAAGCTCAGACGACTATTTTTACGCAGTAAAAAGTAACAAAACACCGAAGGTTCGCGTGACAGTGTGTAAACATTCATTCGACGCGACAATAGATACGGGTGCAACAATTAATGTCATTGACAAAACAACATTTGATAGAATGGACGGAGTTGAGCTTAAGAAAACAAACATCAAAGCGTTTGCAAATAATGCACAAGAACCAGTTAAATTCCAAGGGAAATTCGAAGCTACAATCGAGACTCGAAAGCGTGTCGCCGTTGCAACCTTTTATGTGGCACAAATGCCAGACAGTGGAAATCTGATATCTGCCACAACTGCCCAAGATCTCGGGTTAATCAGCCTACACATTAACAAGGTGTCAAAGTCTAAAGATGCAAAAATTGACAAAATGTTATCGAAACATGCGAAAGTATTCAGTGGTTTGGGAAAATTAAAGGACGAGAAAGTCAAACTGAACATAGACCAAAGTCAGCAACCTAAAGCCCAACCGCAAAGGCGTATCCCATACCACATTTGCGAGAAAGTGACATGCGCATTGGAAGAATTAGAAAAGGATGACATCATAGAACGGGTACCTGAAAACCAACCTACCCCATGGGTATCCCCCATTTTAGCTGTACCAAAGAAAGACGGTAACGTAAGAATTTGTGTAGACATGAGACAAGCTAACGAAGCTATAAAACTTGTGAGACATCCAATCCCTACAGTGGAAGACATAAGCTTAGAACTAAATGGTGCCAAATGGTTTTCAAAACTAGACTTGTCGCAGGCATATCACCAACTAGAACTGGATGAGGCTAGCCGGTATATCACAATATCTCTATTAAACTAATAAGTAAACACAGAGATATTACACATGCAATTATAAGTTTCATTTATTTTTTATTTCGTTAATATTGTTTAAAAAGTAAAAGTCATTCTAAATTTAAATGTTAATGAGTTATAGCTTGCGCTTATGCGCTTTGTTGTATTTATAAGTAGCAAGCAGATTTAGCTGCTTTTAAGACAGACACTGGAGGCGTGAAAGTTTTAGCATTCATGATGAAAGTGTTCCTTTAACCTGAAGGCTTGAACGCTCTGCCCGTTTGTTCTTTCCAATCATGCTAAAAACTCGCTCTTCTGCATTTGAGTGAGGAAGGCATAGTACAGTTAAAGCAACTCGCGCTAACAAATGAAATCGAGGTGTACCATCAGCAGATTTGGTTGCATTCAAATGGCCCCAAATGACATCCATTCGAAATAGGCAAGCTGTTCCATCTTCATCCGTTTTCACAGTCGCATCATTCCAGACATGTTGGCGGATGTTATCATTTGACAAAAGTTGATAGTCTATGAACTGTTCTTGCAGTTTTTCTTGCTCTTCAACACTCATTTCTAGATGATCTGGGAATCGTTGTAGAAAGAACTCGACCATTGTGAATTCATGCTCTCTGCGTTTCTCAAAATTAACAAAACGAGAATTCTCCAGAACTTTGTCATTAAATGGAAGTTTTGCCACAGCATACTGTGCAGCAGCTCTGTAAAACGCACCAACTGTATCATAGAATCTTTGCACCTACATGTAAAAGAATGATTAATTAAAGGTGGCTGAATGAATGAAACATTGAATAACACTCTATAAATGGACTAATAATAATCTGCCTGAACTGAACTATCAATATATTATTCTGCAGTATTACTGTAATTCTACCTGTTGAGGATCTATAAATCTCCATCATTGAGCATCTTCATTATCTTTCCCCATGTTGTAATTCCCACAAACATCTTGTCTTCTTCCTATATATTTCCATTATCTGAGAAATCTATCTCACACACTTTATTTGCAGCTGCAATAGCATCAATACGTATGAATTTGCCTGCCAATTTCTTAAGGAACGACTCAAGTTGATCCAAAAGCAGATGAATAACTGGCTCTCCTCTCTGCAAGAATTCGTTGATGGTAGTAAAGGTGGGAATAACAGCTTGAAAGAACATCAAGTAAATCTCAGTCATCGGGTTTTCAAAATGCTTTCGAAGCCTAGCAAAACGTGGGATTTTAGAATCTTCATCATCTTCTGAAAGGAAATAGGACTTCAAACCTTCATAGCCACTTAATATGCGGTTAACAGAAGTGTTTAAACTCAGCCAACGTGTGGTCACATGCTTAAGCGTCTTGCGATATACTAAGTCACAAAATTGAGCGTAATCACTAAGGGCAGCCTTTCGCTTGGTTGACTTGTCAAAATAGTAAAAAATATCCACTGCCAAGTCATCAATGTCAAACCCAGAAACTTCCTTCAGTTGCGAAGAGGCCTTGCCGGCAGTATTATGAAGAATGTGGCATGGACATCCAAGAAAATAACAGTCAGGATTACGTTCAAGTACCCGTGTCTTAATAGAATTAAACTGACCAAGGTTTGCACTGGTATTATCAACAGAGAAGGCTATGCAGTTTTTCCAGGGTATACTGTTGTCGGTCATAACTTCATCGATTGCTTCAAATATTGTAGAAGCCTTAGCAGCATCCACAACCTGAGTCACTCCCATGTCCAGGAAACGGGTAACCGCTCTTGACGTGTTAATGTCAAAAAGTTTTACCGTGATTGGATTCATTTTGTCGAGGTCTTTGTCATTAGAACCATCTGTTGACATGCTAAAAACTCCGGATTTCAGCTGTTCAACTAATGTCTGTTTTACGTGTGGAGCTATTGCTCCATTCAATATGCAAGTTGTCTTCATTCTTGCGCTGTGGTAGTTCTTAGCTATGTTGCTGTCAGGAAATAACTCTTTAAACATTGGACTAAGCTTATCAGCAAATGCCAGAGGGATGTTGTTTTCAACTAAGAGTGTAGCAACTTTAATTTCTGCAGTTGTGACCTAAAAATGGAATAAGCTTTTAGAAAAATACTATTATAATTAATTATTTCACTAGAAGTAAAACAAATTGTTTTAAACAACCACACACTGATATACATACACTATTACTACAACAATATGTTAATGTCTTACCTTATCTTTCAGTGGATCCGAGGTAGAAATAAACCCAAATGAACTTAACGGCGCTGCATTGGTCCTAGCTCGTACATTTTTCTGATGCTTTTCACCTTGAATATGTCTTGTCACATCAGATTCCCCTTGATGAGCACAGCTGCAAACTTTGTCGCACACCGTACACCTGAACTCAGTTGGTGAACGAGGAACAGCAATAATACAAGGCCACTTTTTTGACCAGGATGGCTAAAATTTTGACTTGAATCGCGCAGCACCGTCAAATTTACGCGAAGAACCATCTAAAGAACCATCTAAAGAACCATCAACTTTTGCTTTCTTTCGGCCGCAATCACTCGAAGTTTCGGCCATTATTTTTTGTATAGTGAGATTCTCAATAACACATTAACGACACATCCAGTTAGAATCTATTTTATTTATGATATTTTTACGATACTTTCTCTACATTTATACTCTCCACCTAATGTGGGCGTTTAACTATGACTATTCATTTTCTACGTAAAGGAAGGGAGGTGCGGGAAGGGAGCGCTTACCACAAAATGCGTTATCATGCCTACGCGCGAATAATGCTAATTCATCACGCGAAATTAATAAGATTACAGTTTATATTTTACATAAAAAGCGTTGTCTGGGGGAATCGCTCAATAACTAAGTGTCAATTTACTAATTTGCGCAATAGTCCAACTTACGCAACACTATACGTTATACCGCAACTGCTCGAAAAATACTTTATTTTATAGCTATTGATTCAGCTACATAGGAATATTTTCTTGCGAAGAGAAGCATTAAAACAAAAGTTGGATCGCTTCCTACTTTTTCGCTTTTGCATGAGAAAATAGTGTTTATGCGTGTGAGCGTGAGAAATATGTCAAATGCGTGTGTCTCACGCAAAATGTGTGAGAGTTGGAAGGTCTGGTATTTATGGCTATTTGTAATACATTGATAAACTGAAATATGGTTGATTTATTTATCTAGTAAATACATGAAACAATTTGAACAATTATATATGGACAAATTTGGAATTTTACAAGGTTTAAAATGTTCTATGATATGTGTTCTACATGCAACATTTATATTTTCTGAACTATCATGTTCAGACAGGCTTTTAGCCTACATAAGATATTCCCTCGATCTAGTGTATAAAGTTTCTGAACACTAAACAAATATGAACATTTCTACAATATATTAATTACATAAGCATATGAGTAAGGCGTGTTTCAAATATAATCAGCTGAAATGCATCATTAATCATTATCTATTAATATTGTTTCTAATACATTAGGCACATGAAAAGAGCGATGTTTGAAATAAGCCTTATTAAACAGTTAAACATTAATGTATCCAGTGAACTTAAAAAATCCTCTCATATCATTTGTCGCAATTTCTTGTAGAGCTTGGTGTACAGCCACATGAAGACTGTCCCGCAACAGTTCTCTGTACTCAAATCGCCTTAGAATTGTTTTCAGCTTATTAAATACGTTTTCGGCTGGGTTAAATTCCAGCGAATAGGTCGGTAAATACCAAAGAACACATCCTATGTTGTCCAACCATTCTCCCTGTGCTTGGCCCACTCAATAATGATGAATTGTTAGATTCTTCAAAGAAATTAAGGAAACTTAAATGATTGCTTGCACCATCTACGGTGTTCGCATAAATAATCCATCCAATCCGCACATCAAGTTAAGTGTAATATTAGGCGAATGCATGTTTCTAGAAATCTCAACGGCTGGAGTCCCTATTAGTGAGTAGCCATAATTCGGCCTCCCAACATCTGAAAGTTTAATTCCTGATTCATCAAAATACTTCAATCTGTGAGGATCAATTGTGTGGACATAATTTACAAATTCTTGACAATAGGTCAGGTTGGCGGTAATAAACTTTTCTTGAACGGAATGTGTTAGTCTCTTCCAACTCCATTCGCCATCGTCCATGTGATATTTTAGAACTCGTCTTACTCCTGAGTTGTTCCACCAACACTGTTACCAAACTCATTTAAATGTTTGTAAAGTTCACCTGTGCTCATAGATGGACAGTGGGATGAAGTTGATATCATCCTGTTGTAGATGTTTACTGCCACTTGGTCGACTTTCGAAACGAATGTTACCAGTTTCGCAGAACTGTTTCCAAATCTTTCTCACTGTGTCATATTTTATTCAATTCATGAGGGCAATTTCTTTAAAATTTCCGTCAAAGAACCCTGTAACAAAGTCTCCTCTCCCTTTTCAAGAATATCTTGGATTATTTTCTGTCTTAAATCATGACGAATTGCTTTCCCACACTCATAAACACACGTCCTGCCTTACTTGTCTCAGCTATGTTTATTATTAAATATAATATAATATTAAGTGCATTATGAGGAACACACCCACTTTCTTGAAGAATATTTACAACTTCCTTCAAAAAAGTGGGTGTGGTCGCAATACAAACATTTGGACCCATTCCACAGTTCGATGACTTTCGTAATATGAGTGGCTGTCTTACAATGAAATCTGCCTTACAGTGGCTGTCTTACAATGAAAGCATTTATAACTTCCTGTCACAATTTCCTTCTCTGTCTATACATGTCACCTTGAACAATAATTTTTTTCGCAGTAAGCTATCACATTGACATGCATTGTTCATGCAAATATAATGGTAGCACTTTCCTCAGTTGCGATTTTATCCATAATCAGCTTATTGTATCTACATATCCTCCTTTCTTATATATTTATATTTTCAATCTATCATTTCATTTCAAATCAACAGCCTATTATCTGCAACCCAGGGGCGGATCCAGTGGTTTGGTTGACTGATGCACTAAACCTCGTATTATTATTACGTTTCGATTTTGAAATAGTGTGAGAACAACATAATCGTGTGAGTTTTAAAATAAATTGAAAACATTTTTACGCTGAGTTTTATCAGTTAGAAACTTGACTAGCCTTATTTATTTGATCCTATTTGAGTGAGGATTATAGAGTAGCAAAGTTGTAGCTATAATTTACAATTTTGCATACAAATGTACACTACTTACATGTACACAACATACTGTACTTCCAAAACTGATAGAATAATTGAAAGCAAAACCGGACACTTTTTCGGTGCAAAATATGGTGCAAATGACATGAAAAGCTGATCAGAGCTGTGTTTCTGATGCAAAATAGGTAAGAATACTTAAGCAAACTATTATATTCATTGCCAATGATATCACTTCCTGTAACCAGTTAACACCAATCAATATAACAATGTTTCAGGACAAATGCCTTCCAGCACCACCACCATGACATAAATTCCAGTTAAATTATTTTAATAATCCAGGATTAATTCCAGGGCAACTTTGAGTTACTGTATATGAAGGCCCTCTCTGGACCTACTCACTCTAATATTTCTGACATGCATTTATATCCAATATTTCGACAAATGCAGTTTGAATTTTTAAATACTGTAAGATTATCAATGTATTCAAGGGTGTTAGGTACTAGTTTCCATTGTTGTTTGGGCAGTTAATAATAAAAATAAACAATTATTGAAACTATTTGCAGAAAATAGATACAAAACATTGACCAATAATCTCCACAGATTTTGCATCGAATCCCAAATCATACATTCAGGAGAGTGTCTAGTGTCTACTGTATATATCCAAAACTGCTGTTTCAAGATATTAAGGATAGACAGGGAGTAGTGCAGTTATGGACTTGGTAGGTATCTCATTGCATGAGCAGGACTGACAAGCTTCAGTAACAGTGCACTATATTGTGATCAACTCAATTAGTATTTAGTACATTGACGTAATATATGAACAACGAGAGCGAGTGTTTCACCAGGATATCCAAATGAGTGTTTGGATATCACAGTGAGACACGAGCTCCAGTTGTTTATATGGCTTTTCAAATTAATCGATATATAACAGAATGTTTTCGTTTGCTGATTTGAATAGAATTCTTAACCAAGCATAACATAATTAGGAATTCTATTCAAGTAATTTTGCATGCGTAATTAAGATATTTGATGAAAACACTAGTGACTTTCATCAAGTTTCACTGGGTTATCCAAATGGCATCTTGTGATCAAATAGGTGATTATCATTGGCTGAATTGCTCATGAATTATTAATGAATTTGAGAATTATCAATGAAAGTGAGATGATTTATCAATTTATACATTGTTGTATTGAAAATAAATGACAGAATGATTAGAACAGTAATTTGTTCTCATAACTGCTAATTAGACTGGGACATTTAAAATGAACACCTTGTGCTGGGTATAATTTAAAGGCATATATGAACAATGCCAGAAAAAAGTATCACAAATTTAAGGGGCCGAACTTGAGAGAGCCCAGCTAAATTTGTTCCCTTCCTAAACATGTGAATCACCTTCATTTTTAGCACCACAATAATTTGTTGGTCACCCCGTGCCTTCCCCCCCCCCCCCATCACCTTGGCAGGGGGCAGCCCTGATACATGTAATGCCATGTAGTATGATTGATCGCTTCTGGTACTAGGTGATCATTCTGGAATAATGGAGATAATATATAACTGAACTAATCTCACTATCACCAAACAATGCCCTCTAAAATATTGTTTTGAAGCTGCAAGAGCTTCCCAATTCCAAACTAATGCACATACAGGGATGGATTTGGATGTGGGAGGGATCTAATCGGGTGCCGGTATGGATGTCGGGTGTGAGCATTAACCAAGGCATGATGTGTAATCATACAGATAGCAGTTTTGGGGAAACAGCACCTAACAAGTAACTGGCAGGTGCCAGGAATATAGTAAGGGTTGCAGGATCCTAGACAGAGTGTCTTAGACTGTAAGAATCTCAGAGAGAACTACAAAATATTATTAAGGATCTAGATTCAATTTGCACTTTCAAACAAATTAAGTTAAGACACAACCTCCCTTCCCCTCCCCCACACCATATAATGTGAACAGCCAGAACAGGGATCACCCATGTTGACATACAAACAGTTCAAATATAATAAATTTTGTAAAATTGTGATATTTATACTATGACAAGTATACCTATACGTACAGTATTTATTATAAATATCAACACACAATCGCACACAGACTCACTCATTTAAATCACATCTTTAGAACACAGTACACGGATCCCAAACAATCCCTTGTGAAATCACTGAAATAGCTGACAAACCTTTTAATTTCGACAGCTTTGAGGCTCAGTGAGTTTGAGTCTTTGTATCTCCAAACAACGACCAAAGATAAAATATTTCCATACAATGTTCCATTTATACTCCTGTCATTATAATTCGACCATAAAATCTATCATTGACCGGGCAAAATGCATCAGTCAAAAGCACATTATTTTGATTGTGGGCTAAACGTATCAGTCAGCATCCATTTCCCAACGTTTACATAGGCATGAAAACAATGGTTTTTGTGACGTGTTGTTGGGGAAACTTGGCAAAAGACTCGGGACCGATGCACCACTCATGCACTTTTGTCCCCAACGTGATGTAGTGATGCATCCACTGAGCTGTAATAATAGTGGATGCATCAAACTAAACATTGACATATGTGGCGAGATAAAGTCGCGACACGAAACCGTACAACTTGAGAAGTGCGAAATTTTATATGTGTTTACGTTTTTCATAATAGTTTACGTAATATAGCTTTGTTTACATTCATTCCTGTGAAAATATATTGTTTTAAAGAACTTTGGATCAAAGACAACCAATATTTAAATATATTTTAATAAAATGTTGTTGCATCAGTCTGGATCTGCGCCTGCTGCAATCTTCCTGTTTTCGTGTCGGCAACATATATACAAGTATAAACAAGGTCCTCAACATTCTCGCAAGTTAAATAACAATAGAAGTTTGAGGGTTTACCATTTGACATGCATAGGACTTAAGTCATCCACTTGAGAAATGTTCATCACAAGTGGACACGGGTCGCATTTTGCAAGGCTTTACTATTTGACCAGGTGCATTGAATTTAATTAATGACAAGTGGACACAAATTCTCGTTTGAAGTATGTACTGTCTAAGGAATGGACCGATGTGACAGTTTTCGCTTTAACGTAAAAGTGAATGCAATACCAGCAATACAAATTACATTGCTGATATACTATATCATGCTAATTGCATATCCTATATAATATCATAATAGCAATGCAATTACATTGCTGATATATAATATCGTGTCCACATGTATCACGTCAGCATGTCCCCATTAAATCTCCCCTTCAAATTCAAACTTTGGGCACTATTTTACAAATTTACATCAAACAACTTTTCAGTTGTATTTTAGCTACCAAGCCATATGGCCTTGGTTATGTACTTGGTTATTAACATTTCATGAACGAGGACAAATTCATCGATCTAACAGTTACTTGTTTTATTACAGGCTACCATTCTGCATCGGTTTGCTCCTGCCACCAGCAGCTCACCTGTTTCTTCGCCCAGCACACTAGTGGAGCAACTTGTTCCCCTTGTCTTGACGAACATGACGCCACTCGCTCTGTCTCTTCGCCGTTGCCTGGCCCTATCTTCACAAGTATTTCTTTACCGACTTCAGTTGCTTCAATTTAAGACAGCCCACAAATAAGATTTCCTCGGCCGCAAGTTCTTCAAAAGAGAATAAAGCTCTCCAGTGCAGCAAGAAGCCCAACTTGTTAAGCTGGTCAGGCAGATGTTCGAGCCACATGAACTGGTCGGAAGAAATATTAGTCGCATTCGTGGAAAGAAACCACTAGACGGGAGCAAAATTGGAAAAACTAAAGAAACTGTAAACCAGCTTTATCCCGCTCCAACTGCAGAAGCACTCAAAACCTGGAAAAGCTGTTATATAAAGCATTTGACTCCTTCCTGCAAAAAACTTGCAGCGCTTCCACATCAACAGCGCCAAATAATTCCGGACAGATGTGACGAAATACATTTTATTAAATAATCAAATTGAGCAAAGCTATAAATTGCAGTTAATGGAGTAATATGTTCTAGAAGACTCTATTTGCCCGAGGGTGTTTTCAAATGCCAACACATCTGCATCACAAAAATTAATCCGTACAAGGTCCAAGTACCTCGGAAAAAAATGGAACAGTTTTCTAGTCCTGTTAATATTACAAAATATCAGATGGAAATCGAACTTTGGCTACTAAGCAGGTGAACAACTGATGCAAACTTAACCAATCAGAAATTATCCTAAGGTTTTTCCTTCACATGCATACATACAATGGCCCCCTTTTTGCGCAAGGACTTTTGATCACAGTTTCGATGTGCACTACAGGGCCGTAGCAACCGGGGGGGCTGGGGGGGCTGCAGCCCCCCCAATAATTTGCTAATAATCATTCTTTTTTCAAAATCATGCAAACTTTATCATTTAATCTGTGACAAACTGCAAAGAATGAAGATATTACTCATACTCCAGATCGTTCCTCGCGTAGAAATTTTAGCTGAATTTCTGTCGCGCATTTTCAAGAAAATCCCACAAAATCTGCACATTTTTCATGAACTAATGATTTATTTTGTCTTTTGCGTGTTGGGTCTTGCGAAAGAAAACTCTGAAAATGCCATTTCAGACCATCTAGAGACTCCAGACTTTCGAAATTTTCTCAAATGTTCTGCCTTCATTTCCGCACAACTGCCATTTACGACGAAAATTCCCGCCGCGCATTTATAATACTACAGTCTGGCCCATACTTTCCTGTAAATTTCGACATACTAAAACGCTGTTTTCTGACTATCAGAATTCTGTTAAATCTTCCCCAAAGTCCAGGAAATGGCATTTTAGAGACTCTAAATTTAAAAATTTCCTCGGGCCTTCGGCCCTCGCTTTCAGCCCCCCCAATCGAAAAGAGCTTCCTACGGCCCTGCACTATTCATTCACAAGACTTTAGCCAGCATGTTAACATCTCTGAAAACGTTTGCAAAGAAGTGAAACCGTTTGCAAAGAAGTGAAAATTTAAAAAATCCATTTAAATATTGTTGACTTACAATGCCTAAAGAAAAAGGGAAGAGTCGTTCAGGACCAACTAGAGGTTCAACTTATGGCCGTCCACAGCATGGTATTGAGCAAATGCCGGCTCCAGATGTTGGTGAAAGTTTGACATTGGTGCCAAGTACTGCTGCGGTGAACTATGCCGATTTATCAGTGGAGGTGTTCTCCATCTCCTCCTGGTACAACGAAATCTTGCGCTTTCTGGTTCGTGTGATACACTTCTTCGATGCCTCGCCAATCACGATGGAGCAGAAGTCCCAGCTGTGTTGAATGCCGATCCGAGACCCAGCTCAACACCAGAATACTCATCTGAATCCCTCTTTTCACTGGCGTCGGACCTTATTCCTCTTCTCCACAACGTTTTGGCCCAGCAAAATGGGCAACTTTAGCCAGCATGTTAACATCTCTGGCAAAAGTTTTGGCTTCTTTTCCAAATTTACCAAAAAGGCTTGAAGAACAAATTCTAAAGGGTGAGTTTGTCGATTTTTATTTGCTTCTCCAGGGTAATTCAGACCATCCTAGTCTTGCCCCTATCTGCCTTCCATGGAGGGTGACCAAGGTCTCACAATCCGAATTCCCTTCTCAAATTTCGGAAAGCATGCTAAAGTTGACAACATAGATAAGTGGCTTACAGCTTTTGGTATTTATGCCTATGTGGTTGTCACTAAATTTCCACATAAGGTTGAGCAGCTGTTTGCCTACAATCGCATAATTTGTGAAGCTTTACAAAAGTTTGAAGGCCTCATATGGTATGGCTATGATATTGGTTTTCGAAAACTTGCTGCAAAAAATCTGGCGCTTGATTGGGGTGAACTCCATCTCCAGCTTTGGTTAGATAAATTTATGGGTCTTGTGCGTCAAATTTGTTTTGTCTGTGGGGGTGCTGATCACATCTCTGATATCTGCCCTCTTTCCTCAACGTTTGAAAGTAGTAGGCCAAGCAGGCTTTCCAAGCAAAGAATTTCAATGGAGGTGTCCCATGTATTACCTCTCCTTGTCTGTTCGAACACTGCTGCAATCAAACAGACTGTGGTGAACAGGATGGCGCCTATACTCACAATGACACCAGCGCTAAAAGAGTTGATGATACTTGTCATATCCAAAAACTTATGATGCCTGCATCAATGCGAACATTTCATTCAAGGAATATTTGCTACAATATGTATGCCTTGATGATGCTATAAAATCTTTCTAAAGCTAGGTCCAAAATGTTTCATGGCCAAAGCCGATGTTCAATCCGCCTTTCGTAACATAGCAGTACAATCCTGACGACTGGGAACTTCTCAGCATGAAATGGTGTGTTATGTCTTTTGGTCTTCGAAGTGCAGATTTCATTTTCAACATGACAAGCTAGGAGTTTCAAATGTTCTTTATAGCCAAACCTGCACCACGTTCTGCATGTTTAACTTCCTTATGTAGATTGCTGTGCCTGTTTACTGATGTTGCAATTGCGCCTGGAAAAACTTATGCCCCTAGTCAAGTATTGCAGTTTCTCAGGATTTCTTTAGACTCTGTGCGCATGATACATAGCCTTACAGTGTAGACATGTATTTTTGAGCTTCACTTAGCATTTAATAACTGTCTCATCATGCCACCAAAACTTCACACAGACCCATCGTCGTCTTCTGAGAGTGATACCAAGCAAAATGCTGGCGGAGAAGCTGTGACAATGGCGACAGTAAAATAATTGCTTCGAATTCAGAAGAGTTAAAGCGAACAGATGACATAGTTATTACTGTGTCTGATCTAAAAGCAAGTCTTGAATTTACTGAAAAAGATGTGCAGGAAATTAAACCAAACCTTGAGAAATAGTTAGGCATAGAGCAGGAAATCTTATATATGCAGTCCTTTCTCGGTCAACAGAAAGATAAAGTTGAATACTTAGAAAATCAGAGCCGACAGAATAACATTAATTTGGATGGCATTCCTGAAGTATATGACGAGATGTGGGAGGTAACTGAGCAACTTGTGAAAGACGTTTTGAAAGACAAGTTGGAAATTTCAAAAGATATATCTATTGAGCATGCTCATTGTATAGGAAAGAGAAGGGTGTCACCAGGTTCTTCAGCTTCTGCCACGTCGACAACTCGCCCACACACTATTGTTTGCCGTCTGAAAAATTGGAAGCAGAAAGAAAATATTTTGAAGACTGCTTGGAAAGTTAAACCTCTGGGAGTATATGTTAATGAAGACCTTGCACTTGATACATTGCAGAAGAGAAAAGCACAGATGCCACAGTTGATAGAAGCGAAGAGAGCAGGAAAGATAGCGTATTTCATATTCCATGGACAAAGTAATTGTCAGAAATAAGTCAGTGGTTGAAAGTAATTTAAGATAAGTAAATACACAGTTTTGTTCAAGCTGTTGTTTTAATAGCTTTCTTTATCACAGGATGAAAATTGAGATTTAAGTGGCTTTAAGGATAACTGAAAGTTCCTTAAAGTTTGACGATAAGCTTTAAGGCGCTTTTAAGTATGCCTTAAATGTAGGTGACCTTAAAATATCGTTTAAACAAGCTTTAAGGTTCTTTAAGGCCCTTTAATTTTCAATTTCTAGCGCATGGGTGGACTATGATTTTACGGTGCTTTAATTTCGCATGAAAGTCTCACTAAATTTAAATGTTTACCTTTCATGTATTAAGGTGAACCCTAATCCATAACAAAAGCAATTGTGAGATTTAATGTTAGTTTCAGGACAACAGGAAAGCTCCTTAAATCTTTGGTCAGGTTCGTTCACTGTCAGAAAACTCCGATATCTGCCGGCGAATGTTTATTATTAAAATTAAAAGGGCGAGGCATACAAGGCTACAAGCTGATCAAACACAAGGGGATTTTGTTATTTTTGAGACAAAGTTATTATATTGATTATTGCGGGTTTGTTACTCCCCTATTCGGAAACCGAAACTACGTACTGACTGTGTAGATCGAGGTTTGTTAGATTCGGTTAATATTGACAATTATGTCAATGGACGAGTCAAGGAATCTGGTTTTATGCCACCACTATGATCAACTGGTGTCAAGATCTACAAGAAACAGGCATGAAAACAAGAGAAACCGCGAAGAGGTCCTTCGAAAGTCATGCCAGAAGTCCGAATCGAGTGATACGACAGACAGTAGAGAGCTTAAGCAAGTGACGTTTTTGATTCACGGACGTCGAGCGGAAATGAATCTGCCGTTTTTGATGGCGTGAGCAGTCCGTGGTGCGAGGTGACAGACGGCAAGTGAACAAGTTTGACGGCGGTGATTTTGTGTCAAAAACGTAAAGGTAAGCATTGTTTTTTATTGCTAATTTTTATCTAAAAATCAAATAAATATTATATTTGTTCTAAAAGCAAAATAATTTGACACAATTTAGCTGAATAATAATGACATCCAAGGGAAAACCCCCAGAAACGGAAGTTGAAGTTCAAGGGCAAATGTAAGTGCAAGGTCAAATTATGCTTTGGCTTGTTTGGCGGAATTTGGCGGTATAAACTGCTTGCGGTTTGTAATCGTTTAGCGCTACTTTACTCTAGTTTTCTGATGTGTAAATAATTCATCCTGATTATATGTCTTATATAAATGTGACCTAAATTTTATATGGAAAGGCAATAAACGTGCTTATTTTCTTTTGGGCAATAAGTCTTTGTTTTTATTGAATTTCGTAAAAACAACAACTGAAATAGGAAGTATAAAGTTGATTATTAAATTGTGTGTATTTACTTTGCTGTTTTGGTCGTTTTGCTTTAGTAACTCTCCTATGGAATGGACCAAAAGACGCGATACGATGCTCTTCAGAGAGGTTTTGGTAGTCAATCCATATCAAGCCAACAAGAAAACTGTCCAGCGAGGGCAACTTTGGCAAACAGTGGCTGCCAACCTGGTGCAACTGGAAGAGCCTGTGTTCAAGTGTTCGTTGTCGAAGCGATCAGTTCAAGATCGTTGCACTCTCTTGTGTGAAAAGCACAAGAAGAGAATGAAGTATGAGATGAAAGCGTCGGGGATATCTCCACAAGTGACGGAATTGGATAATTTGATAGGAGACATTGGAGAAAGAGGAGGCGAGCGAAGAGTTGAGGGCAACACAAGGTATACATTACATATTCATAAATACCATAGAATTATCATTGATTTATTTTAAGAATTTTATAATTATAATGGGGAATTTAAAGCCCAGACCTCAGATATGTATAGATGTCAGTAACCTAGACATACTGAAAAGTTGAGGGTGGGAGCAAAGGCATAAACCACTGTCATTTTTTTTGGGTGAAGCACAGAAAAAGAAAGTTGAGCAAGATCAGAGAAATGCTGTGGATATTCGAAAGAAGGCAATGGAAAGGTTTGGAGAGACAAAGAAAAGAAAAATTGATGAGGGAGAAATTGAAGAGAAGAAGAGAAAGCGAAGGTCAGGATCTGATACGTTGCAGTTTGTAATGGAACAGTCGGAAAATGAAATGAATACGAGGGAGAAGGAACTGGTATTAGAAAAGGAGAAACAAACAAGAGAGGAGCAGAGGCACAACGATTTCAAAGAGATGATGGCACAGCAGATGGCTCAACAGCAACAGCAAATGGCCCAGTTCCAGATGATGTTCATGCAACAAAACAATTTAATGCTGTCAATTCTTGAGAAAAAGTCATAACATTTTAATTTTCACATTTCAGTACTGAATAATATGAACCTCCCTTATATAATTTAAGTTTAACATGTTAAAACATTATTTTAGGCAGCAGTTCCCAATGTCACAAAATCAACTTACCTGTTGTTTGGTCATGCCTGTCATAGTAAAATTACAGATTATCAGCTTATATTCAAAAACCTCACATATTTTATCATAATTTAAAGTGAGAATGCACCTTAAAATGTCAAGTTAATGTTGTGACCATGCTGTATTCTATATTTCACATTACATGTTATGTCTACATGACACCACAGAATACTATACAGAAGTCCATCTCCATTGTTTTTTGCATAAGCGCTATTCATCATAATTCACCACTCAGCAAGTGCTGTAAACAGAAGCAGTCACCCCCTGGAAATAAAATGGCACGCATCCAGGGGGTGGCTGCTTCTGTTATTTGCTGAGTGATGAATCATGACAAATAGGGCTTAAAGATAGGGTACAGTCCGGTCTGCACATGCACACATAAGATTCTCCTGCCATGATATAAACATTTTAATTAGGTTTTTATTTAATTAGATGTCTTGCAAAGGCTGATTGTTGTATCTTGATAATTTATTATACTGTAAAGCATGAAAATATAAATAGTTGTCGAATATAGTTCAATTTTTTGAATACAGAAATGTAAACAAAGCTTTGGTAAATGTAAACAGGCTTTGTTTATGTACAGACAGTACCTTACCTGGCTACCCTTAATTAGAATCAAGCAAAGTATTCTACAATTGATGGGGTGTCTAAGTCAAAAAATTTCGAGGTTTGGTTTCCATAAAAACATGACAGGGCATTTTGAATAACAGCACAAACCAAATACATCTTCCCAACACAGCTGAGACCAAGCTTTAAATTGCTTTTAAAGTCAAGACACCTGAATGATCTAGTGACCTCACCAAATGCCCATTCCACAGTCACACGAACAGTGCTCATTGACCTGTTGAACTCTTGCATGGCTGGGGTCATCAACACATCCCTGAATGGTGCCTGTAGGTGGACTCGCAGAGGGTAGGCAGGGTCTCCATAAATACACATCTGTTCTCCATCAGGTGAGTAAGCATGCTGTTCCAAGTAGTTCAACAGGTTCGAGTCAGCCAGCATTCCAGCATCATGTCCTTTGCCCTCTGTTAATTAAAAATTAAAATAAATGTTACATGTAGGATTCTCTCCTAAATCACAAAAAATTTCAACCCGGGTAACATGGCTGAATTCAACTCCTGGATTGAAAGTGCCCATGTATAAATTGCCCCTTTAATAGATATGTCTTAAACTCATGCAATACTTGGATGTAAAATAATATGTTATATATGATATACATACCAATTGGACCAAACATATTAGCAATTATTCCATTAGGCAACGTAACCGACTGAAATTTAATAGCATGAGTCCGTTTGTGGCCATTATATACCGTACGCTGGTGCTTTATTGGTCTACATAGAGGTCGAACGGTACCATTGACAAACCCGAAACAATTCGTCAACGCTGCGCCTTTCGTATGGATTTTGTCAGCGTAAATTTGCAGATTCTCCGGGCTTAAAAGTCGTTCATTCCATTCAGTAATTAATTCTGTGTGCGTGGTGTTCGTAGATAAAATCTATAACCTCGTTTGTTATCATGCTCAATTCAGCGACTGGCCTACCAAACATCGCAATCATATCGGCGTACCGACAGGGGAAAGCCAGCCGACGTAAAAGTATGCACAACCCTTCGAGTTTTCTTGCCGTTGTTCTTTGGTAGCACTGGAATCGATCGGGTAAACCCAAAGCACCTGCCAACAGGGGAATATCGTCCTTGTCAAATCTGAAGTTTGATCGACATTCCGGTTCAGGTATCGTTGCAAGATCAAACCTTTCGTATTGAAGGTAGTCAAAATCCGGATTTTGCGAAATGTTTTCTTCCAGCAGGACGAGAAGCTGTTCGGCCATGATTTGTTTGTTGTAGAAACTAAATAGCAGCAAGTCTCGAGCTTGTTTAAACAAAGTCATTTCGATAATACAACGAAAAGCTTGATAAAAAACAAACACAAGTACATTGCTTGCGTGCGCTTTCGTGATACGTTTTTTATGAGGTTTTTGTTTATTTACGTTATTGCTTAATGTACAAAATTGCAACAAAAACGCTGTACTCGATCCAGTCCTTTCAGGGCTGACGTGACGTCCGTGTTGTCAAAAACGTCGCTTGCTTAAGCTCTCTAGTGACTCAGAGACATGTCAGCATATATAGACACAACCACAGGTGAGACTTGTTATTTATTAAATACCACTGTCAGTACGCATGAAATTCAACATGACATTCGATCTGCTGTAAACTCACTTCAACACCAGTGTCTATTCCGGTGATCAACAGATCTTAAAATTGGTGATCAACAGACAACAGTCTTGATTGTTGTTGGTAAGCTAAGCTCCTTTTTATACACTTGCAATTTTGCTGTGATTACAAATGAGGGTCATTTTCAATTTTTCATCTTCTGATGGATGTAAATTACGAACAATAACTTCTGAATGTTCACATTTAGATTCTTGTAGTCATAACATCCATAACTATTTCACTTATTTCACTCGTTCACATCCATCAGGAGCAGAAAATCTCTTCTGAAGTTGCACTGCAACAAAAATTGCAAGTGTAAACGGGCATTTATATGTACATGTGTTTGGCGCACAAAAACGCTAAAAGTAATGAAGTTGTCATTGCAGGCACTGACTGTCTTTGTGCACCCCAAAAATACCTGCATTGCTGTCCAGCACATAAAAATAGAAGATTCCATACACCACTGGCTTCACTCTATGCAGGGGGGGGGGGCAGATCTAAACTAGGAAGGAAGATATATCATAGGATTGATATATTCACTACTGCTACTAACTACAGCTATTTCAGTTAAGGTTGTCCCCGAGCAAAGCGGAAATTTTTTTAGCGATTTACAGCAAGCCTTTCGTGCTTGTTTTCAACTTTTCCGCTTTGCTCGGGGACAACCTTCATTGAAATAGCTGTATACATACATACAGTACAGTCATACATACATAATAAAAAATATACACCAGTATAAAGTTTAGTTCAAATACACAAGTGCTGTTATTGTTTGTCATAGTTAACAATTATATAATAGTTAACAATGCAGCTATGTCCACAATATTATTATACCGAATATATTTGAGCTTGCAGAGATCACCTGCTAACATTAATATGCAAAATGCAAAACGCAACTTGCAGTCTTGCAATTGATGTATTCCAATTACTTAATATACCTTCACTTTTCCAGGAATCTGATGGGGCCTGTTCTGTTGACGATAATCCTTTGAACGACTCAAATGATTTTGGTATGAACCCAAGCTCTTCAGAGGATCATGTGGACGATGATTCAGCAACTGACGAGGACAGTGGCGAAGAAGTTTGGAATGATCTTGTTCTCAAAGATTTAATAAATGATATAGAAAACACCTCTGCCTGCCAAAGAAGACAATGAACACATAGTACAATCGCTTCTATTTTGGCTGTTATATTTTTTCCTAATATGGCAAACATCATGTCACATTGGTGATAATGGAAGTCATGGCTTCTCAAATTCTTGTCGAGTTGGTTTAAACTGCTAGGCGTGATAGTTCCATCATCGCGATACCTTAGCCCAGATTGTGACAGCATTTCCTGGAACATTATACAGCTAGTATATCGGCGTCCAGAAGCTAGGCATGGTCGAGAAACCCTACGTCACGTTAGATTCGATTGGCATCCATTTTGCATCAGTGAATGCATCGGTCCCGAGTCCTTTTCCGCGTGAAATCTAACGTGACATCATCAAATCTATTGTTTTAGAGCCCTACGTCATGTTAGATTTGGCCGCTGAGCGATGCATCGCATGCAGATTGCGGGCGCTCGCATCAGTGCACTGATGCAAATTGCAAAATCAAATCTACTGTGACGTAACGAGACATTCGATTCAAGACATGGCGGCAAGGATATTTGATCAATTTGGATATGCAAACACTATATGCAAATGGAAAATAATGCAAAGAGAAATCCCTCGAAAGAAATCCCTCGGAGAACATATAATTTACAGTCGAACCAATTACTACCAAGTGGAAGAATGGAAGGGATCTTATATGCCCACGATGTGAAACTCGATCGAACTGAGGGCTCTAATTAAGTAAGTTAAATTTCTCTATATTTTTACAAATGGTAGTAAATTACGAAATTGTTCAGTTCAAGAAGTGTGTAAAGTGGAAAATGGGGTCCTGCACAATTAACATAGATTTGTATGTAATAACAAAATAATTACAGTTTGTGTCTATTACTGTTGTTGCTCTATATTCCAGAAAGCCCAGAAAGATGTTAGTGGTTGGGGGGCGGGGGTAGGGGGGGGGTAGAGTTTGACATTTTACAGAGGTTTGCTTGTCTGGAGCCAAACTAGCCCCAATACAAACTTGACAGCTTGCTTTACTGAGGCAAATTTCATCTCTGTTTACATGGGATTATATCCTGTACCCAGACCTTCATTTTTCTCACAGCTGGCGGGCAAATAAAAATGAATACCTGATACACATGTTATTATGTTTGTGTCCTACAACTGCCTTTATTGTTGTAACTCTGATTGGCTATTTCTGGCATGAGTATTCATGCCATATTTAAATTGCGGTTGTTTCGCCAACGAGTCGTTTCGCCAACTGTCAGTTCGCCAACGTCTCGGGTCGATTCGCCAACGTTTCCTCACGTTCTTATGTCAGTTCGCCAACGTTACATAGTTCATACATGGATATATAAATCTATTAATGTTTGTAGAGAATAACCGAAATAGCGAATTCTCCTGATATTTATTTTTAGACGGTGTAAAACAGGTTTAATCAGCGGACGCTAAACAAGTAATTTTTCGTAGGGCCTTAAACTCACGAAATGTGAAAGTTTTTATGCATATGATATACCATTCAAGTAACACAACTGAAGAGTTTTCAAACAACAATACGAAGATTAACTATACTCTGCACTAACAAAATTCCACATTAGAGCATAGAACAATAACCAAGGTTAGACACGGCTGGTGATGCTTTTGATCGCCAACGTTCCAACATATTTTCTACAAACATTGTTTGTGTTTCATGGTTTCACATTATAAAGATTGTTTATTTTACAATCCATGATTAAACGTTGCGTTGGCGAACTGACATAAGAATGTGAGGAAACGTTGGCGAATCGACCCGAGACGTTGGCGAACTAACAATTGGCGAAATGACTCGTTGGCGAAACGACCGGTTACCCCATATTTAATGTATTGTTTTGATAATTGGTTAATGCTATAATTAAATAATGATATATTTAGTGATTGTAACTATATTTAGCTTGTTGTTATTATGTGAAATTGACATTTCTTCTGGCACATTTTGATTGGATACCAAAAATAAAACTATAGTGTGGGTGGAAAGTAACTCTGAATGGATCAAGACTTGCATCAGTCTCTGTATGTAATTACAGAGCATAATTGCAGGTTAATGAGATTTCTAATAGTAATTAATGCAACATTGGTTAGAAGACTAAGGGGAGTTTACATGAAAGGTAATTGTTTCAAGTTGCAACTTCCAGTGGTATCTCCTATTTCATTTCATTTTATATGGAAATGAGCTGGCATGCCTTGTGACGGGGTCTTTCTTTGCATTGCCTGAGTTATTGGGCAATTACTATACACTAGCTGGATATTTTGCAAACAAAGATGATTACCTGGGTTTGCTCGCCTACCATAGTTAAGTGTTTATATGCTTTGTCTGTGCAAATATAATTTGATATAAGCTGTATATATCATATGACATTTCCTGACAGATTTAATCTTAGAATCGATGATAAAATGATGGACGGTATAAATACTGTATATACTGTAACTGGTGTATACAGGTTATAATTATGAAATTTGCTCACAAAAGTGGGATAGTTTGGAAAATATATTTAATTAAATTATATATTTGTAATGCTAATTATCCCAGTATTATGTTTTGGATAGCCAGCATGCCACCCTGAGCATTACGATTACCATTGATAAGTGTATGGATATATTTGACAAGATAATATAGGGAAAATTAAATATTCATCAATACTACTGTGCAACCTTTCTTAAAGGAGTACTGTATTAATATTAGTTGAAAGGCAGGCAAAAGGGGACAGATAGAAGACATATGATTAAATTATGTCATGTTTATCATTGTACAGTTTGGTATTGGTTTATTTAACAAACAATTTCCAATTAAGATAGCTTCATTAAATTAATTTACACACAGTCTCTATTGATTTAAAACGTGTGTGTACCTAGTTATTTATTTATATAATTTTAAACCCAGTGTTTGTTGTGTGTTAGTTTACTGGTTTCCTCGCCACAAGGCAATATTCATAGTATTCAGAGTGTGGGCTATTCACCATGCAGTTCATCTGAAAGCAGCTAGCCTAGGGGCAAATGAAATTGACCAGCTGATGCCAACCACGCTGTCCATGCAGAGTAAGATTAGCAGCATAAGACAGAGTTGCATATATTTACCCAGTAAAGCACAAAATACCTTTAATCTTTATGCACCATATGTTATTTTACTTTAAATTCTAATGCTAGAAGATTTTACTCATGGAACATTGGAAATTAATAGGGGAAGGTGGTTCATAAACAACATAATAACACTGTCTTCTGAGTCCGGCAATGCAACTAGTGGAGCACACTGTATACATCTTTGTTACACAGTATGTGTGTATTTGCGTTGTCGCAATTTTCTGCCGAAATGTTTTTCAATAGAAAAGTTAAGGCTACAAGAAGCACAGTACTGACTATTTTTTAATAGAGACTTATTGCCACTGCTGTTCTTACACTTGTACAAGCAAAATTTTTTTCTTATGTGGAGAAATTATGTTTTTTTGCGATATAGGTTCAAGTTTTTTACGTGTTTTTTTTACGTGTTTTTCCAAAAATGCAGCAAAATTTTTGTGACTCTGATATAGGAATTGCAACAAAAGAGTTCGCTCAGAACGCAGGAAATCGCATTTCCGAGGTCCTAGATTTCAAAATTTCCCGGGGGAGGATACGCCCGGACCCCCCTACAAATGCGAGGTCTTATGTATGCATCAGTCAGCTCAGGAGCTGGATCCGCCCCTGCCGCTAACCCATCCTTGGGCTCATTCATGTTCCTTTGTAAGCATTTTATACAGTACAGCCATAGTTATACATCAACATTTGGTGTTTGAAATTTATAATGAACTGATAATTCAAATATATAATATTGTATGCTGTAAATGAAAAGAAATATCATGGTCATGGGCTGGATTACAGTACATTCAGATATTATAATACGGTACAGTATATATTATATAATACCTTATTGAATTCTGATCGTTTAATTGGCTGTTTATGGTCACGTGATATTGAATAGAAAATTCCATTTCCCAAGAGTGCAATGGAATATACGTTCCATTGCACTCTTCACTCTTGCGAGTGCAATTGTACTATATGTTTTATTCCATTGCACTCTTTGTGTTTTCGATAAATCGCATCCGTCAAAATGCTTCTCGTACGGTGATCGCTGCAGTTTATTTTAACCCGATAATCGCTGCAGTTTATTTTAACCCGATAATCGAAACTCAGTAAATGGGATTTAATGCAAATACGACTCGTCAAAATGGCGGGAGCTTACCGTAAACCTTTTAATATTAGTCTATTTTGGTATTATATAAAACAAATAATGAATGTTTTTATTTGTGCAATCGGGTAAGAATATTTTCATTCGGTGAAAGATGGAATGTTCCATTCAACTCGGCTGTCGCCTCGCTGAATGGAACATTCCATCTTTCACCCCATGAAAATATTCTTACCATTGCACCCATAAACATTCATTATTTGTATACTGTATGCTCTATTTATTATCTGTATTAATTAATGACAGCATTGAGATGTTTGAAATTAGGGTTATATTTAAGTTCAGTGACAATATGATATACTTTTGAGTGTACCGGTGCAAATGCACTTGTACTACTTTTTTAAATCAGTACTGTATTGTCAGTAACACTGTGGAGATCAAGTAGACTGAATAAACTGCAGACCATTGGACGGCTTGCTACCTATACACCATGAGTGCAGGGTTTGAGATTGGCAGTATCCTGACAATACCACTTTTCAATTTGGGATACCAGATGGCAGATATCAAAACTTTGGATACCAGCAAATTCTTGGCACGCTGGCCACTAGCAACATCTGCACAGGAGGCTAGGCAGGGTTAGGCTCAACATTAAACTTGGAACCCATTACGGGGTCAAATAATGCCCAGGATAAATTGACAACCAGAATTTAGTGTAACACATATGCAATTTGTTATTGATTGTGAAATGCACTGCAATTAATTTTGGAAGTTTCAAAGACTTCAATCTGTTAATGTCCTATGTATGTAACTTTTGAAGTTCTCAGTTCAATGGATATGACATTTGGATACCAGTTTTTGAGTTTGGATGCCAATTTTGAAGTGCTGGTATCCATATTAATGCTACTAGGGGGAAATTCTAATCTCGAACCCTGTATGACTGTATTTTATAATAATAATACAAAAGTTTTTAATATAAATACCATAAATAAATATGAAACACTAATTACCTGTAGCTTTTTAGTTTTTTTTTCTTTTTCCTTTTCATATCGCACCTGGTACTTTAAATGCAGCGTTCTATAAACGTTCTTTCAATTCCCTATGTGACCTATGTCGCTTCTCTGTTTTGACCAATATTTCAGATTCAACTTCCTTTTTAGCCCTGGAAGAATATTTTGTCTTTCTTTCAGATTTAGACATGATTTTAATGGCTTCGCGTTCCTTCTTATTACGTCTCAGCCGTTTCCTTCTTAATGACTCTAAACTTCGAGAGGCTCGACGCTTGCTTCTACGTGAATATCTTCAAGAATATCTTGTTGTCGAGATGAACAGCCAACCACGCTATCTGCTTTGCCTTCGGATTACCGCTTTTGGAATAGCCTACCGTCAGCAAGCGGTGTTTCACTCGCACGGTATGCAGATAAGCACCGTTGAGGCGCATCAGCTTGACTAAATCTACTGACAGCAAACCCTTCAGCATTGCAAACAGACATTGATTTCTGAGTATTAACAACAGCCATGTTTTTGAAGTTCTGGCGGGTAAGAGCGCCAAATTATGGTACGGTGTTGTCTCGCAATGGCGGACAAATAACCCCGTGCTTCAATAGTCAATTGTCTGTCAGTCTGTTCAGACCATTCCTAGTGTTCTTTTCATAAATCATTTGTTTATTAATGTAGTTACTATCATAAAAATCGTCACAATCCCTATAAATGTTATAATTTAAGTCATTCAAAAAAGTAAAGACAAGATATAGATATACCGGGGTAAAAGTACCTATTCCCAAGGTGCAAATATTCCGCCATGAGACTTACTTCGGTTCAAGCATAGACAATCCAGAAGACAGGGACTGGAAACGCCTAATGTTTTACGCGCGCCATCCGTGATGCGGCCAGCTGCAGATCTTGCGGGCTCATTTAAACAAAAATTCAACATTTTTCGAAACATTTCACAAAAGAATAAAACATT